TTTTGTTATTTTCCACCTCTGGTTTTTCTCTGAGTGTTCGTCTTTTTGTTGTTGTCGGTCTCTTGGGGAGATTAAAGGTTGGAACTCGAACTCTCTTTTTGGTTGGAGAGAGCTGTGGCGTTTCCCTACTGCCCCGTCGCCATCTTCTCTTCCCCTCCCTAGGTAGGCTTTAAATTAACCACAAAACAGACAAACAAAATCCAGAAACAGAGCTGTGGCTCAAGTGATAGAGCTCTAGCCTTGTGCAGAAAAGCTCAGGGACAGCACCCAGACCCTGAGTTTAAGCCCTAGTACCAACACAAAAACAATAAAATAAGAAACCCATAAAGTAGGGAGAGAAGATCAAAATTAACCCAAAGAAAATAGAAGGATAAACTTAAGTTTTAGGTGACATTAAATAATAAAAAAGAGATACAAGACAATGCCTGATCATTAAGTTAAAAGATTTTTTTTTTACAAATAGTCAATGAAAAGACAAAACCTTGTCAGTTTCATCTAAAAAGAAAGGGCAAGTAGACAGGTACTACTTACCTATAATCCTAGCTACCCAGGTAGCTGAGATCTGAAGCTCATGGTTTGAATCCAGCAGGACGGAAAAGTCCATGAGATTCTTTTTTTTTTTTTTTTGTTGGTCGTGGGGCTTGAACTCTGGGCCTGGGCGCTGTCCCTCAGCTCTTCAGCTCAAAGCGAGCGCTCTACCACTTGAGCTACTGCGCCACTTCCTCCATGAGATTCTTATCGCTATCAAAAAGCCAGAAGTAGAGGTGTGGACTAAATGGCAGAGTACTAGCCTTGAGTTGACATTGTGTGTGTGTGTGTGTGTGTGTGTGTGTGTGTGTGTGTGTGGTGTGTGTGTGTGTGTGTGTGTGTGTGTGTGTGTGTGTGTGTGTGTGTGTGTGTGTGTAGCCCAGTGAGAGTTTAGGAGCCAAAAGTAGAGAATACGCTACCAACATCAAAGTCATCATGCCAATATGTATATTAACACATTTCTAAGGTGAAAATATTCCAAACTACAACAAAAACACTAAAAATAAAGTTAAAACACAATAAGTACATTCAGGATTGATCATTTCATTCCCTATATCACAGTAAGGATTAGTATTAGGAGTTTGTAAGACCCAGAGCTGTCATACCCACCCAAGAGGGGCCTCAGGAAAAGCAGTATTCACATCTAAGTATACTAACAATATATATCTGGCTGGCTTTAAATACCCTGAGTGTTGGAAATATTAACATGCCTACTTTAAGATGAAATAAAAGTAGCAATTAGAAGCTATCTGACCAAAAAGGTTAGTTTTCTCATTATGTTGATAAAGTTGATTTTATCAACCCAATAACGGAATGCATAAAAACAGTTCACAGATCTGTAAACTAAAGTGTCCCAAAGTGTCCTGAATGTACTTATTGCGTTTTAACTTTATTTTTAGTGTTTTTGTTGTAGTTTGGAGTATTTTTCACCTTTGAAGTGTGTTAATATACATATTGGCATGATGAACTTGATGTTGGTAGCATGTTCTCTAGTTTTGGCTCCTGGTCTACACACACACACACACACACACACACACACACACACACACACACACACACACGCTGTCAACTCAAGGCTGAGTATCCTCAATAGTAATACTATAGGGCTGGCAAGCCAGCTCAGTGGTAGAGCGCTTGCCTTGCATGCCTGAGGCCCTGGGTTCGATTCCTCAGCACCACATAAGCAAAAAGAAAAAAGCCGGAAGTAGTGCTGTGGCTCAAGTGGTAGAGCGCTAGCCTTGAGCTAAAGAGCTGAGGGACAGCACCCAGGCCCAGAGTTCAGGCCCCATGACCAGACCCCCCAAAAAAAAAAAAATAGTACACAAGAAACAAACTCAATGCCACATTCTGATTTTTCAGTGTTGTTGCTTTGGTTGCTTTTGCTTACCTATTGGATTAGCAAGATCCTAAGCATTTCAGATATCACTGGGAGTCAGTAATATTTGCTCACACCTGGAGTAGTGTTAGGAAGTAGTAAGTCCACATGAAAAAGCTGCATGGAAGAAACATGTGGACATTCTGGAGTGGAAATCAGTCCTATTCTCAGATCTGTGGCTTGACTTAAGCAACACTTGTATCTATTCATCACATGTCAAAGAATATCCATTGAAAAAATAATATCCACCAAATATTATTTGTTAAAAACAACAATTTGAAAACATTCTTTACAAGTCTATAGAAAGAAGAAAAATGGCATGTTAGTTTCTTGACATGTTATAAAGTGAAAAACATCACTTTGGGAATGGCATTTACCTAATATAACTGAAGGATCTGTGAAAGGATCTGTCACATTCATGCCAGGGGACCACGAAAAGGCAGACAGGCACAGGAGAAAGATTATTACAGGGTTTATTAGAGGAGCCATATTTGCCCCGGAGAGAGAGCACATGGCAGCCTCTACTATCTAGGTAGTAGATGAGAGTTCGGGTGGGTCAGGGCAGAGAGAGGGAGGGGCCAGCTGTATGGTGGGAACTCTAGGGCAGGGAGGGGCTCAGGTCTGGGTGGAGCTGAGGACCAAAGGTGGGCATAATGCTTACAGTAACAATTCATGAAACAAAGAAAACCAAAATATCACAAGACAATACTTTGCACTTTAATGGGTACAGATAATAGTGTAAAATGAAAGAGAAATATCAGGAAGAACACTGTGCTTGGTTTATGAAGAATAGATACCATTTACTTCTGAGCGAGTGGAGATGAAGTAGTGTGATTGAAAGGAGCCTTAGCCTCATCTGCTCTGTCTAGATGCTTAACAAAGAGAATGTGATCATGTTATATGGTGAGAAAACAGAGAAGCCACATTTTGAGAGGTTGATACTTGGAGTCTATTAAGAGGCCAGTGACTGCATGGTGGACTCCTCTCTCAAAGACTAGCAGCAACAAACAGAGCTTGCACCATGCTCTTAAAGGCAACAACCACATGCTTGGGATGGAGACAAGCCTTAACAAAAGCAGACCTTATATGGACATACTCAGTACAATCAGAACTTTTCCATCTAGGGAAGATATGCTTCAGCCTTCCATATAGGGGTATACTTAGAGGCTACTCAGAAGTGGGTGATTCAAGCCATTTAGGAGGTAATCAAGGCAGAATCAGAGCATTCTCTATATGCAAAGCTTTCCTAAGGGTATGATATCTGCATTTCTCTGAAGCAGAATCCTCCTAGGCATCTACCTCTAGGCTTTTTAGCACTGGGTGGAGAATTCCCTCCACACAGCCACGGGCACCGGGATGACTGTAAATTAGTTAGACTCAACCTCCTTACTTCAATCATCCATTCCTTGTGGAATTAAAAAGTAGTGAAAAATTAAAAGGAAACTAATTTCTAACTGCAATCTAAGACTTTTCTTTCTTCCTTTTAATGTTTCTTCTGGCAGTGTTAATTTTAAGTTACTTTATTTGCTTGAAAAGATAAAATTAATATACACCTGAAAGAAGTACACACATGGTAATGAAGCAGGGGCACAATCTGCCCCAACCCACGTCCTGGAGACAGCCCCTACACCCACAAATCCTAGCTTTCTCACAGACTATACTTTCCTTTGTTTGTTTCTCAAAATTGAGTTGATACTGCACAAATAACTACTGAATTTGCAATTCTAGTACAAAAGGTTCCATAATACATATATGCATAATTTACATAATTATTTCATTCTTAATAAACAAAAGATTGCTTCTAGATTTTGTATCCACATTTGTTGGGGAAATGGAGGCGAAAGGAAGGATGCAGGCTGAACTCAATCTTCCACAGATGAGGACTGTTTATTAAGATAGAGCAGTAAGGGACAGCCTTCCCACAGGCTTGGAGACTGTGTATCAGAGCTGGGATAGGAGCTGGGTTTTATGAGGTCTGAGCAAGGAGGCAGAGGTTAATGAAAAAGCTACTAGGTCAAGGGAAGTGGGGGGCTTTTTGGTTGGGCCCAAGATGGAATGTGTATAGCCAGGCTTAGAGAGATAGCCCTGCACTTTTCTTTGCTGGGTTGCCTGGAATCTGTATGTACCTGGGAAAACAGGATGAAAGTCAATCCTTCAACAATTAACATGTCATAGTAGATATCCTTCAGGGGGTGTGTGTGTGTGTGTGTGTGTGTGTAAGTATAGCAAAGGTTAAGAACACATACTTTTTTTTCTTTCTTTCTTTTTTTATTTTTTATTTTTGCTGGTTATGGGGCTGTTCCTCTGCTCTTCAGCTCAAGGCTAGCTCTCTACCACTAAGCCACAGCACCACTTTTGACTTTTTCTGCTTAGGTGGTGCTGAGGAATCGAACCCAAGGCCTCATGCATCCAAGACAAGCATTCTACCACTGAACCACCTTCCCAGCCTAAGAACACATACTTTGTACCAACAGGTTCTCAAAACCGGGAAGTTTATGTATAGCCATACATATGTCACGTAAAGAAAAATTTATTTCCTATACCAGCTCACTCCAAGGACATTACTGCTTTTTTAAAAATTTGAAACTGGAGTTTTGGGTGAAAAGCCCCAGTTCTGAAGTTCTCAATTAATCTAAGCTGGGCCACCTGTCCCTGCCCCTATACTCAAAATAGAGAGAGGAGCACTAATGATTTATAGGAAAGAAAGGCAGACTTAAGTGACACTGAAACTGCCTTTGGGGTATTTGCGTACATTTTAAGGAAGATGGGGTCAAGGGCCAGGCATATGTGATTAGATGGTTCAGGTCAAAGTATGCTCAGATTACTGGTTGATTTGTATCTCAGGATGTTGGGTGGTGTCTGGTCACAGTAAGAAGGCTTAAGTTGTCTGTGGGACAATTTCTGCTGTTGTCCCAAGATGTTTACTGATTGATCTTGTCCTTCCTGAAGTCTCAAGATGATAACTATAGGGGAGAATTACTCAAAGAAAAATATTAAAAATGACATATGAGCTTACCAAGACTAATAGTAACAGTAGTATTGTTATTGTATTACTGTAACAGGAATCTATCTCATCTTTGTTGAACTCACTTAGCAGGTCCAGTGGAATGGGAAGACCATGAGGATGAACCAATCAAGAAGAAATCTGATGGACCAGGTAAGAAAATAAAGGCAAAGGTAAATGGTAATAAATTTAAAGCTGATTCTTGGCCAGATGGCAGATAATGTAAGGAGGCCTGACCTTAGTCCAGAGTTTCTGGACTAAGATGAAGTAATCAGCAGCCTCCAGTATCTCATCTCTGCTAAGACTGTGAAGTGATTCTGAGAGCAGAGCTGACCTTTGCACCACTGGGTGAAATGCTGGATTGCTGTCTGTTTATAAAATTCCTGATGCAAGTACTTCTAAAAGGGAGTTTTAGAAACAAGTGCTATGCCTCACATAAGCCAGTAGAATAAAGGCACAAAAAATACTGGCCATTAATTTTTTTTTTCCTTTTCATTGCTCCATCTTTTCAAGCTAGCTTTTCTAATTGACCACAATAGCTATATTATGGGGCATAGTGTGATATTTAGATACATGTATAAAAGTGTGATGATAACATCAGAGCAGTTAATACATCTATTACCTCAAAAAAATCCATCATTTCTTTGTGTTAGGAGCACTCAAAAGTCTCTCTTCTAGCTGAAATACACCATACATTATTGAATGAATGCAGGAAGGAGAAAGTGAGCGTAGGATGAATGGGACTGGGAGAATCTAAGTGCGCCAGAAGCTCGAGAGCAAGCTGTTCATTTTAGGAGAGGAGAGCCAAGTGTGACTTTCTCAGAATTCCAAGAAGCAGAGATTGATAGAAGCCTGGTTTACTCACCTCGGTGCAGTCACAATACCACTCTGTTCTGTGACATGGAGGATGGTTTCTCCATGCAGAATGGAAAAAATAAAGGCAAAACAAAATCTATGAATGAATGTGCTCAGTAGGTCAGAAATATCAATATCTCCATCTTGACCTTTAGAATGACTGCACACAGTACTTAGCAGACAGGATTGTCCCAAGACTGTCTCCTGTTCCTGCGGCAAATATTGAACTTCCAAGGATTCCATATTCTAGTTCAGGAATCCTTAGCATCCATTATTCAGATGTTGCATTTCCACAAGTTGGTTGTGATATTGTGCTATTGTTATAATGCTTTATACAATGGTGGTATCCAACAACTTCAGATTGAAAAATCTTGTTTGGCAGACTTTTGCAAGCTCTTTATCCATAGTAACTTGTTTAACTCCTTCAAAACTGTCTTCCTCATTCAACAGAGAAGGAAACTAAGGCATAAAGAAATTTGCTAACTTTCTTTTTGTGGCAGTACTGGGTTTTGAACTTACGGCCTACCACTTGCTAGCAGGTGCTGTACCACTTGAGTCACTCTGCCAACAAGAGATTTACTAACTTCTGCAAGACTACACAGCACAGAGAAATACAGCTGCAATTTGTAGTCTAGCAGTTTGAATCCAGAATCTGTGATCACTACCTCTACTGCTCTACTTAATTCTTGAGTCTGCAATGTAGAGGTCTTGGCTTTAATATCAACTCTAGCAAAGCAAATCTGAAATACAGCATTGTGTTTGTTTTCACCACTTCTGGTGAAATAGAGACGTGTGTCTTGAAATATACAGTAAATTATTGTTGAACAAACAAGTGAAGAAAGAAGGAATAAAATGTTTAATGACCATTAACAAATACCACTTCAAAGAAATAATTATAAATAGTAGGAAAAACTAAGTTCTCAAAAATGTAAGAGGCTGGGGTCTGGGAAGGTGGCTCAGTGGTAGAGTGCTTGCCTCTCATGCATGAGACCCTGGGTTCAATTCCTCAGCACCACATACACAGAAAAAGCTGGAAATGGGCATTAAGGCTCAAGTGGTAGAGCACTCACCTTGAGCTAAAGAGCTCAGGGACAGCACCCAGGCCCAGAGTTCAAACACCACCACCAACAACAACAAAAAGTAGGAGGCTGAAAAAGTGCACTCATGAATTTAGCCCTGTTAAATTCCCTTTTGTGTCTACATGAAGCAGCTGTAGGTCCAACCATGCTAATGTGGCAACATGCATCGGCCAAGGTATTTTTAAGGCAGCAGGGGTAAGGAAAGAGGTTTAGCATTCATGGTATCTCTCAGAATTGCTCTTCTGTGGCATCTGTTAGGACCTTATTTCATTTCACTTCCTGTGGCCTCTCCTGCCCTTCTTTGCCTAACAAAGGGTACTCTCTTCCAGCTTCCTAAAATGCAACACCTGGGAGGCCTTTAGTTATGAAGGTCTTAGTACCATCCCCACCCATATTTCGATTCCCTATATTTAAGTCATGCAACATACTGTTTCAATAAATCTATATATACTGAAGTGATTACTACAATCCAGCAAGTAACCCTAACCATCACCTCCAGAGTCAACTTTTTTTGTGAGCCTATACAGTCTACTCATTGGTAAATTTCCAGCATTATTTTTATTTCTAATTACTGATGCATACATAACACACAGAGTCATTCTGTATAACTACAAGAATGTACCCTTTGAACTACCTGTTCCCATGCCCATTCCCATGCTTCCCAGGATCCCATTCTACTTCGTGAGTTTGACTAGATTAGGTTCCATATATGAACGAGACCATTCAGCATTTGTCATCATTCGGCTTATTTCATTTAACATAAGGTCCTTTATGTTCATCCATGTGGTTGTAAGTAACAAGATTTACTTTCTTTTTAACACTAATACTCCAAAGAATAAGGTCCCCAGCTGTGGAAACACCTCAAACTTTCCCCAGGAGTCAAGAGCGCATATATAAAATTTCTTAGCATGCTGGGGGTTGCTTGTTAGCTTTGTCAATACTTGGAGCATGTTTGTACTCTGAACTATGCTATCATGTGACAGCTCCCTATTTCCCAGTCACAGTCACAGAATAGGACAAAAATCCACCTATAGCACAACTCTCAAGTCTTCGATTGGTGGGAAAGACCAATCCCAGGTGCAGAATTTTGTGGCAAGCCCAAGTCAGGGGAAGGTAAATCATTCAACAAAATACACATAGCCTTTAGTCCATGTAGTGAACTCATTGAAAAAAAAAAAAAGCTTTAAAATGGTTTGACTGAAACTGACAGAAAAAGATGCACTGAAGTCTGACTATATCAACAGAATTGCTTCTAATAACTCTGAAGAGCAGAACAAGTATAGAAAATCATTAAAAACTCAAGCTGTTTCTCTCCTGGTGTCAATAATAGGTGCATTTCCACTTTTAGTAAATCTAAAAACTTTAGTCATACTTCTTTATTGGCAGGATCCGCATTCCATAAATTCAGCTAGCTCCAGATTTAAAAACATATAGTTGGAAAAAAATACATCTGAACACACAATGGTTTTTGTCTCTTGCTATTGTTTCTTAGGCAATACATTTATAACAGTATTTAAAGCATGTGTAGGGGGATACATGTGGAAATTTTATGTAAATAATATACCATTTTACATAGGAGGCTTAAGTACCCATGAGACTTATCTGCTAGGTTTCTAGAATCATCCCCTATGGGCACTCAGGGATGGCTATTTTTCTGATTGCTGGTCAAACACTACAGATTCCATCTGCCACTGAACATATAAAAAGCTACACAGATGCCATCCCCTCCTCTGGTTCAGGAATTCCTCTCAGGAATACAGGACAAAACCCAAGTGTAGTGTTAATAAAGCCTTACAGCCTGGCATGACAACAAAATCATTAATGGTGCTGTTTCTCTTAGATAACATCATCAAGAGGATATTTAACATTCTGAAGTTCACCTGGGTCCTGTTCCTGGCAACAGTGGATAGTTTCACCACTTGGCTTAACTCCATTTCAAGGGAGCACATCGACATATCTACTGTCCTGAGGATTGAGAGGTGTATGCTGACCAGAGAGATTAAGAAGGTAACACTATGGGCAAGATTATTTTGGCTTCTTGCCAAAAGGTTCCAAGGATTCCAACTCCTTTATTCTTGATTTTGGAATAGTTGAATATACATAATGAGGTACCTTGGGTGGAAGGGCACAAGTCTAAACACAAAATTTGTCTGTATTTCATATACACCTTATACACACAAACTGAAATTGTATGCAGCATTTTTAGTGTGCCCAAGTTTCGACTGATCTTTACATAAGCCACTGTGCCATCATGTCCACACTCAAGGAATGCTCATTTCGGAACATCTGAGAGTTCAGATTTCAGACAAGGGATGCTCAACCTGTTTTTAATACTCTGTGTAAGGTAAGTTTTAAAAGGGAGGAAAATAAGCTGTTCTCACCAGGAAGTTGTTACCTTGCACATGACCCTATACTATACTGTATATTTTAATCCATTTTATTTTTGGAGGTAACATAATCAAACACTATACATACATGCATATATGTGTACACAGGCATGCACTTGCATGTTTACATATTCACACACAAGGCACACACTTGTGCACATACCCACACCTGCACACACACAGTCTGGAGAAACTTCCAGTTTACTCATTCTCTCTTCTCCCCTCCTCAGAGACTTTGCCATATTCGATAAAGGATTTCAATTAATCTTAGGAAAATTAGGATGTGTGTAAGACAAAGTATATCATAGTCACAGGTGGTTTATAGATTGTATTTTAAAATAGTAGCCTGTTTCTGAAAATGTAACTATAACTGACACAATTGCCTATGTGTACAAAGGGTTTTCCTCCTTAGAATTATCTAGTAATATTGAATCACACTAATGATTATAAATGAGTGGCATTAATCCTCATTTTCCCTAGCATGGGGTCAGTATTTATGCCAGGTATGCAAAAGTGCTGAGCATGGCCAGTCTGGTGTATAGTGGTCCATAGGAATGGTGGTGATGCCCCCTTCTCCACAGGGCAATGTGCCGACGCGGGAGAGCATCCACATGTACTACCAGAACCACATTATGAACCTCTCCAGAGAGTCGGGGCTGGACACAATCGACGAGCACCCTGGAGCTGCCTCTGGGGCCCAAGCAGCCCACAGGATGGATAGCTTAGATTCCCATGACAGTATCTCCAGGTATTTCACTTTCTAAAAAGTGGGTTTTCTTTGCACCAGGTAAATGAGGTGGATGTCATCACATCTGAGAAATGAATGGATAAAATGAAAGTTAGTTAAAAATGTGCACAGCATCCCAGGCCCTGCAGATCACCTGCACCTACACAGCAATGTCAAAAGAGCATTGTCCCCTAGACAGAATCAAATAAAAGCAGACAGTGGTAATAAATATAAGTACAATTCACATGCACAGTGCTGAGATTGCCAAGCTTGAAGCAAATAGGAATGGCCCTTCCCAACCTCCAGATTACTCTTGTGGTAGGCTAATATTTGTTACCTTCCAAAATGCCTGCTTAATCAAGAATCTTCTGCCCTGGTATTTTCTGCCATCTGTTGCTTTCCTTAAAGTTTTCCTTTCACCATTGTTACTTCAAGGTTTCGCTCTGTTAACTTGTTTCCATTTTCTCTGGGATTACTGGCAAACTGACTCATGCTGACAGTGGCAGTGCCTGCAGCACTCAGCATTGTGAGCTCATTTTGTGCTTTGACACCTTACCAGATGCTGTGTGCCATCACCACCCAGAGTTTTCAAAGATAAGATTAAGTTACAGAGCAGTTACAAAAAATGTTCCAAGTCACACAATTAGGAAATCTATAAAAACAGACACAGGATCTCAAATCACCTGGTCCAGCTCAGAGCCCAAACTCTTTTTTTTTTATTAATTTTTTAAATTTTTTAAATATGAGAATACCATACAGAGGAGTTACGATTACATGGGCAAGATAACGAGTACATTTCTTATCAAGCATTGTTGCCTCCTCCTTTGTTTCCCCTTCCCATCCCTTCCCACACTCCTCCCCTCCCCCCAACCGATCCTTCCCCCACCCCCAACCAAAGTTAAGTTCGTTTTTTCGACATAACCATTGTTGCAATGGGTCCACCTGTATTCCTAGTTAAACGGTTTGTTTTTTTCCCTTCCCATCCACAAATTATACCAACATCAAAAACAGTGAAAGTATGGGTTATACTGTGGGGGAAGGACATACAAAGCAACATAGAAATCATCTTATAAATATGATAGAAACAATTGCATGAAAGGAAAAAAAGACAAAAAAAATGTTGAGTACTTATCTTGGGGTTCATTCCCTTAACATCAACTTATCTGACCTTTTCTGCTTGACTCAGACATATACTAGTTATTGCAAATAAGGGAAACCATGGGACCTATGTTTCTTTGGGCCTGGCTTACTTCACTTCATATAATTTTTTCCAAGTCTTTCCATTTCCTAGCAAATGGGGCAATGTCATTCTTTCTGATGGAGGCATAGAATTCCATTGTGTATCTATACCACATTTTCTTGATCCATTCATCTACTGAGGGGCATCCAGGTTGGTTCCATATCTTAGCTATGGTAAATAATTCAGAGCCCAAACTCTTGACCACAATAATGTGGGCTGCTTTCCTGTAGCCTCTTCCTGCATCTATTTTCCACCTGTTTCAGAAATGCCTCAGTACCCTTTGCACCATGATGTTCTACACAACTGCTGTTGATTGTTCAGAGTTAGTTTCTGAGTTAAGGCAGAAATCTCTGCCTTAGAAGGAAAAATGGGCATGGCCTAGGTTGATTAGCTGACTAAAAGAATTACATGTTGTAGTCTTCTGATTGTTAAGAGGACACCTTTATTTATTTTTGTTTTCATCAATTTTGTTGAACAACACCTATTCTAGACAACTTCCTGGGTTCAATTCTAGGCCCAACACAAATAGATAAGGACCTCCCCTATGTAATGTGAGCCTGGAAGAATCTCTGAGACATAGCCATTGCTTCCTTTAGCACCTGCTGAGGTGAGAAAGTGCAGGCTATCTTCAGCTGCTGGGTAGAGGGAGAGACTAAAGGCCTTGGGCAATGTTTCTCTTGCACAGGTACAAACTGACCATTCAATCAATACCCAACCCCAAATCCCCAAATAGAAACTGAAAATCAAAATTGAAATATCTGGGAGAGGTGGTTTAAAAATAATTTTTCCTTTTACGTTAAAGTGCTATTTCACATTTACTCAATTTCAATACTTTGGTTTCTCTGGTTGAGACTGGTTTTTTGCTATTCCACAACTATCTATTGATACAAATAAATTTCTATTTATTAGCATGGAAAGATCATTGTTATAGATATATCTGTTATTGCTATATGTGCACATCTGTGTGTAGTACATATACAAAACTCAAGTTTTAAAAATAGTATATATAGTGGTCTCATTTTAATTTTAAAGGTATTTGTGATGTATTGATTTAAATGTGATTTTTTTTGTACAGATAAAGCAATTCATGGATATATTTCTTCCTGTCCTCCCTTGTAAAGTCTTTTCAGGGATAATAAAAGAGATTTTGTTTTCCCTCTAGTTTGAGGATAACCTTTGCTCATTTTCAAGTTCCACAGTCATGGATATTTCAGCTAGTATGTATTTCTGTGAGAAGAATAACACAGGGCAGAAAACCGTCCAGGATTCCTAGGTCAACCATTTATTTCCTACTTGAGACTCTGTTTAACATACCTTGAATATTTTAATCAAATTATTGATGGTTAGGAAAATAATGTAACATGGTAATAAACCTTTCTAGTCCATTTTCTTTCTACCCAGTCATTTCCACATTTCTCAGTTACTAATTTTTGAAACAAAAAAGCAATACCAAAAGCTACAAAAAAAATGTATATGATACCCTTGATCTGGTGATCATCCTTGTGTCATTTTTTGTTTTGTTTTGTTTTTTGTCGGTTGTGGGGTCTGAACTCTGGGCCTGGGCACTGCCCCTGAGCTCTTCAGCTCAAGGCTAGTACTCTACCACTTGAGCCACAGCACCACTTCCAGCTTTTTCTGCTTATGTGATGCTGAGGAATCAAATCCAGGGCCTCATGCATGAAAGGCAAGCACTCTAGCACTGAACCACCTTCCCAGCCTCTCATCCTGTGTCTTATAGAGATATTCTTAAAGGGACTTTTAGCCTTTTCTCCTGGTCTTTGTTGAGACAAGCTCATTGTTTATTTCCATTTTTTCCAAACCATGGTAACTGTATTTGGAAGCCATCAATCTTCCTTTTTTAATCCTTTTATTCCAATTTTAATTATTATTATTATATTATAAAGGGGTGATATACAGAGGGGTTACAGTTACATAAGTCAGGTAATGAGTATCTTTTCTTTTTGGTAGATTGTGGGGCTTGAACTCAGGGCCTGCATGTTGTCCCTGAGCTCTTTTGCTCAAGGCTAGCACTCTATCACTTTTTCAAATTTTACCTCATTTTTATAATAAAGGTGATATTCAGAGGGATGACAATTACATGAGCCAGATAATGAATACATTTTCTTTTGTACAGTGTCTTCTTTTGCCTCACTCTCTCCCTGTCCCTCCAATCTCTACCCATGAGTGGTATAGTTCACCTTCATTATCGTCCAGTGAGCTCCACTGCTGTACTATTTTACCCTTTTCCCTGGCGTTCTGTACCCTCCCCCACCTCCTCCTGAACCTATACATATGAATATACCATACATAAACTGGTACATTTCTTTTTGAACAATGTTACCCCTTTCTCTCCCTCCCTCCTCCTAGATTTTCCTCTCCTGTCTCCACCCTCAAGTTGTATAGTTCATTTTCAACAGTGTCTAGTGAGTTCCATTGCTTAATTTGTTTACTCTTTGTCCCTCCATTTCTGTGCCTCCCTTACTCTCCCAAAGACAGATAAATGAGCAAAAAAGACAAAAGAAAACAAAAAGAACAACAAAGAGAAAAACTCTTGTTTCCATATCCTGGAGACCCACCAATCTTCTTAAGTTTACTCTTTTTAGTAATAGGTCTCTTTGTATCAATAAATCAATATACTTCAATGGAATCTTTGTTCTCTCTTTAAATCACTTTAATGCCAAAATGTAAAATTCATTTTACCTTCATTCTTTCTAAACTCTTATGTATTCCACTTTATCTCTCAGAGTGGACTGTGCTGAGGATGTAGCTCAGTGACAGACTGCATGCTGAGTATGTGTGAGGCCCTAGGATTGGTTGCTAGCACCATAATAAGAAAAGAACAGAAACCATCATAGTGCTAATATATGAGCAGGTGAATTCACATGTGCAGGTATAATATTCAGCAGGATGGTGGGCAGAGGCAAGGAACATTCTGAATGTGTTCAGCTATAACTACAAGTTTCCATATTCACCCACTTTACAACCTATTCATAAACAAAAACTTGTTTAAATGAAAGGGAATGGAAGAATGAGAAGAAATTTCTCTAGGCACACATCTTCCAAGAAATGTTCCATCCATCCACCATTCATCTATTCACTCATCATTCACCCAACCACTTTCTAGTCCATCTCCCCATCTGTCTGTCTAATCTCACATCCATTCACTTACCCCATCCATCCATCTATCCATCCATCCATCCATCCACTTTTGCTTCACATTTACTAATGTCTACTGCCTTGCCTTCAGTCTTTGAACAAAGCTGTTCTGTATATGTGCAAAGTAGACAGTCTAACCCATACTATAACTTGTCAGGTCTAAAATAAAAACGGTTTGGATCGCTCTGCCCTATTTATATAAAAATAAATTCATAGTTGAAATTATTTCCTTCTACACAATGAAGAATATGATTACATAAAATGCACAATATGTTATTCTATTTTATACTGCATCTTTCCTTCAAGAAAGTATGCTGTCTCAGGCTGGGAAGGTGGCTCAGTGGTAGAGTGCTTGCCTTGCATGCATGAGGCCCTGGGTTTGATTCCTCAGCACCACATAAGCAAGAAAGCCGGAAATGGGCATTAAGGCTCAAGTGGTAGAGCACTTGCCTTGAGCTGAAGAGCTCAGGGACAGTGCCCAAGGCCAGAGTTCAAGCCCCACCACAGACAAAAAAGAAAGAAAGTATGCTGACTTTAATGTGATTTATAATATTTTCTTAAATGCCTGTTTTAACATGTTTGTATTATCTTATAATAAAGGGATTGTTTTTGTCCCTAGGATATCTAAGAGAAAAGGAAAATTAATGGCATAGGTTTTCTTCATGAGTTAGTACATTAAGGGTAATGGTAACATTAATCCCTTTTGAAATTTCATGAACCTGTGTACTGTCTTCCAAAGAGGGAAAACACATATCAGTGTGAAATTGTGAAATATTTTCATAAAAAATTAGGAACTTCTTCAGTTTCCTGAAAACCCTGCTTGAAACCCTGGTTTGAATATATAGATTTGATATACATATATATATATATATATATATATATTTGATATATAGAGAGAGAAGAAAGTAAACTGAACTAGTTCATAAAGTAAAACCTACATGATTCCTATACTAGTGGTTCTTAACTCTGTAAAATTTATACCATGACTAATTAAATTAACTGAATACACATCAAAACTTAGGAAGAAAAGGAAGGGGAAAAGGCTGGTTAAAATAAAGTTATGTGATTGGTTTTTAATTTGATCTGAGACTATACTCATGATCAAAAACTAAGTTAGCCAGACACTGGTGGTTCAAGCCTATAATCCTAGCTACTTAGAAGGCTGAGATGTGATCATGATTCAAAGTCAGACCTGGCAGAAAAGTTCATGAGACTCTTATCTCCAATTAACTACCAAAAAGCCAAAAGTGAGTCTGCGGCTTATATGGTAAATCACCAGCCTTGAGTGAAAAAGCCTAGAGACAGCGCTCAAGTTCTGAGTTCAAGCCTCAGTGCCAGCATGAAAGAAAGAAGGGGGAGGGAGAGAGAGAGAGGAGGGGGAGAAGGAGAGGGAGAGGGAGAAGGAGAAGGAGGGAGAGACAGTAGAGGAGATAAAAATTGTGTGTTAGGAGATAGTGAAAATCATTGAAAGCCTTGTAGTAAAAACTGTCAAAGTAGTAAAGTGCTAAATCAACAATTACACTAGACAACTGGCACCATTAAAAAACTAATTTTTAAACTAAAGAAAGAAGAGGCACACTAAATTCATTTTGTTGGGAGTTGAGTGAGTTTTTGTGCTGAGCCTCATTTTCACTTTATACCGTAGAACTTTCAAATTTCCAGGCAGAAACTGATCAACACTAAGGTCTCCTTGAGGCTAGAATGTTGGGGAACTGCAGTGTCTTCTCCAGGAGAGACTCTTCCAGTGGTAACTGGCATTCTGATCCTTCATTCCTGGGACAGGCCTAGTTCCCCTAGTGAGGACAGTCACTCAGGGTGGCCTGCTCCTTTATAGCTGATCCTCTCACATCCACCTCAGGAATTTTTACCTTAAGAGTATAGTTGATGGTGTCAGGATGGGAACCTAATCAGTACATCCAGGTTTTCTTTGATGGAATGGTTGAGATTTCTTTTAAATTCAGAAGTAAAGTGTCAAACTTTTTTTTTAATGGTTGACTGATGAGATCTGATGTTATTTCCCTTATAAAGTTAATATAGTAGCATAACTTGCTCCAGATAGCTTGAATTCCATTCTGAAAAATATTCCCATATTTGAAGGGGCAATGATCATTGGAAGCTGTCTAGCCTCTCCCACTACTGCCCTGTTGGTTCTCAAATGGTTAGCAAATGGTTTTCTTCCTAATAGTATACAACCAGTCCTAAAACATCTGAAATGGAAATTAGGCAAAATAATACAGCAGACAAAATTAACCTGGCATTGCTAGAATTCCTTTATTATTTTCTGTGAGCACTTTATTTGATTTTTGATGTTGGTTGATATCTAGGTGTATATCAAACCAGCATCTCTTCCATGTACATTTAGTTTGGCTTGACCAAATATCACTCAGAAAACAGGGTGGAGAAGTCAGTTTATTGTGTTATTCCTGAGCATCTGCTCTCATTTTGGAGAACTTTTTTTAAAAAGAAAAAGCTAAAATCTGTTGTTCAAATTATATAAGTAATTAATTTTTGCCTAAGCAATTGGGCTGATAAATGCTCTCAATGAGCTTAGTGGTTTGATTTCAAATAAAAGGCATTTTTGTCAAAAACAAAAGAACAATTCCTTTGCAATCTTACAATGACATAAATACTGCCTTTCAAGAGTACTACTGGAACTTGTAATTACTCTGTTTCCCTGGCCCACCCAGAGAGTGTCATTTGAACATTTATCATAGCCAATGTTTTATTTTTGGTTTTGTTTTTTTAATTCCAGCCTTCTTGTGTTTTATTATCCTGCCAAACAGGTCCTCCCCTGCCTCGGAGCCCCTGCTACGTGGTCATCATTGTCCGTGGTGGTGGTGGTGTTGTGTGTGGTTTGCATGGCAGTGTGTAGGTCGGTTGATCGTGTATAAGCAGATGGACCAGTGGTCTTTTAACTCTGTGTTTCTATAACTGTTTGCGCTGCTAGCTGCTACACTGAAGCCACCCTGCTGTTCTCAAGGCAGTCCACCCTTGATGACTTAGATGGACAAGACCCCGTTCCTAAAACAAGCGAGCGTGCTCGGCCTAGGCTCCGTAAAATGCTCAGCATGGACATGTCTTCCTCTTCAGCTGACAGTGGCAGTTTAGCATCAAGGTGCTTAACTCATTCATGCATGCTTTGTTCTGTAATGTGATCTTCTCCCTTGATGTCTTTGCAAAGATAAATTTTATCATGTATGTCATTTTTTTTCTTATCTTTCTTTTGAAGCATTTGCATGACTAACCAAAATACAACTACAGCCCCTTCTGAAGCTGACTATTCCTAGGACCCTGTTCCATGACACTAACCTGACCTCAGTTTTGTCTGTTAGGACATTATTTAAAATCCTGACTGCAAATACTCATTGCCCTCCCCTTGATATCTACAAAGATTTAAAAGTATGCTTCCTATATTTGATTTACAGATTTTGTAAGTAGCTCTCGTAGGGAGAAACCTCAGGAATTATAGAAAACTTTTTCTTACGATTTTGCTAGCAATACATACTATACAAAAAGAACAAATCTGAAAATCTGCCATGCATGGCCATTTTTAGTTGTAGCAGAATTAATCTGTCAATGTCTTATGTGCATGGCTAACCTAAAAGTCATAGCCAAGCAAATGATTCACCTATATTCCCAAATAACTCAAGAGGCAAAAATGAGAAGATTTAAATTAGAGGCCAACCTGGATGAAAAGTTCATGAGCCTCCATCTCATCCTATAAACTAGGCCTAGGGGTATGTCCCTGTCATCCTAGCTAGATGGGAAGTACAAATATGAAGATCATGGTCCAGGGTAGCCAAAGCACGGCTTTGAGCCTATCCAGAAAACTGAAGCGAAGAGGCTGGGGACATGGCCCAAAAAGGCTGAGTGACTGCCTAGCAATTGGAGGCCCCAAGTTCAAACTCCACCAAAAAAAAAAAAGCCAGAACGTTTACCACTGACTTTTGAAGAGAATTTTATTTAGAATATATCCCCACTTAGGCTATAACTTGTTTTGTTTGCAAAGAATTTTTGGAAGTATTTATTAGCATACAGTGATTGTACAAACTGGTTTCTTTGTGATATTTACAACATGCATATAAGCTAGTTTGATCAAAATCATCCCCACTATAAGTTGCCCTTCTTCAACCCTGCCCTCCTAGTTTTAACAGTTTGTGTTGAACTTCATTATTTAATTTTCATTCTGATACAATGGCTTACGTTTTTTCTAAGTAACCACTTAGAAGTGAATTATCTGTAAACAATGTAAAGACATTAAAAAAAAATAAGCCTTAGAGGCCAGGTGCCAGTGGCTCACCCTGTAATCCTAGCTTCTCAGGAGGCTGAGATCTGAGGATCAAAACCAACCTAAGACTGTGAGACTCTTATCTCCAATTAACTACCAAATGAACCAGAAGTAGAGCTGTAGCTCAAGTGGTAAAGCTCTAACCTTGATCAAAAAAGCTCAGAGACAGTACCCAAGCCCTGAATTCAAGCTTCAGGACCAGCACACACATATATACACATATACAAATATACAAATATTTGTATGTGTATATGTATATATATATATATATATATATACACATGTATATATATATATATACACACATACACACACACACAATCTTAGCAGGGTCAGGGACATCAGCTAGGTTGTGCCTATCCTGACATGAAAATGATCCAATCTAAAAGAAATTAACTCAGATAGCTCATGGTGACAAATCTGAGGGTGCTCACATAGATTTTTTTTTTTAGCAGCTGTGTGTATCACTGCAACACTGCACGCTGCAGGCCAGGTGTTTGATTGGAGCTTGCTGAATTCTGAAGGAACCCTCAGCCTTCAGACACTCACATGACCCCAACCTTAGGAACTGTGCTTATCATGACTTCCAGTTATTGGGAAGTCAGAACTTGGGTAGAGTTTCTCTGTGATCTGAAAATCCCTGGGGGAGTGAGTGGGGCAATGTCACAGCTTCCTACAGAGCTATCTAATGGAGGTGAGTCTAGTGACCCTCTGGTTAGTCCTGGTATTCCCAGAGATGTCTATATGATGTATGTTCTTAGGGCCAAAGCCCTGATCAAGCTTCAAGGGTTCCTGCAGACCTAGTTCTGTCACAGGCTGCCACACGGGGCCTTCCATGCTCATTCATGCTCATTGGCATGACTACATACCAAGAAAAATAGATTCAACCTGTGCATTTGAGAATGATCATGTTTCTAGGACCTACTTGCTCATGCATGTCATGTAGACAGTAGTGGACACTTCAGGATACAACAAATTATATACACCTCCACCAGGCTCCAAATAATCCTGTCTTCTTTGTGGATGGGGGAGGTCTGTGTGCTTCCTCCATTCCCAACAGGAAGGACAGAGTAACAAAGGCATGTCAGGAATATCCCCGCATGGCTGCTCCGTTTTCAGTTCCAACCTTTCCTGCATGCAGATAGGGAAAGCTGGAGGAAAAAAAAGGCTAAAAGAAAAGGGAAGAGAGGCAAAGTACAGGGTGGACAAAGTAAGGACTAGGAAAGCATGTGGAGAAATGCTGGAAGAGGGATGGATAAGAAATAGTGAACAGATGTCTTTGAGTGGCTGGAGAAAAGGACAACATTGTGGAGTGCAGCAGGCAGCTGAGAGGAAAGCCATACTGGGAAGGCAAATATTTCTAGAAAAATGGTTGCAAACTGTAGGGGTGGTGGAAATGTAGTCATTTGAGCTTCACATCAGTAAGAAAAAAGACCCTATGTGGGAAACAGAAAAAAGTCATATTGAAGAAGAGTGGCTCTTGGTCGGCTCAGCTGGTGATTGATCATTCCTGTCATCCCCACTAGATCTGGGTGGATCCTTTCTGTAGGACTGAGAGTAGAACACATCTTGGTTAAAAAAATCTTTGGCACAAACTAGCATGGCTTGTCCTTTGCTTATGCAGTCTTCTCTTCTTCAGAGACACCTAATGGTAGTTATGCTATGCTGACTAGGTAATGACTTGGAAATAAACCCTGAAGCTCATGGCTGTGAATTTTGTTTTTAAAAAAACTGCACATAGATGAAATTTGCACCTTGAGAGGAATGTGACTTGCTTCGGTTTTGAAGGGGGAGCATGCCCTCTGTCCATATTTATATCAGAAAAACTACTGTTTGTGCAGTTTCTGCAGACCAGGAATTAGTCTGATGGAACAAAGCAGATGGAATGCAGAAAAAATGGGGTATTTCTTTTCCTCTCTTGCTTGATGTTTTCTCTTTGGGAGTTCTGAGGTGTGTGTTTAGAGTTTGGGCCAGTCCTGGGGAGTTTAGATGCTAAGACAAGTGCTCTGTGCCCATCCCTCTCTCCTGACAGTGAGCCCACACAGTGTACCATGCTATACTCACGTCAGGGGACCACAGAAACCATTGAGGAGGTGGAGGTGGAGGCGGAAGAGGAAGCAGTGGGCCTGGAGCCACAGCTTGGAGACGCTGAGGAGGAGAAGCCGGAAGAAGAAGAAGAGGAAGAGGATGAGGAAGAGGAGGAGGTGGAGTTTGATGCAGAGGCCGAGGAGGTTGGCCTCACTCCTGATGAAGAGTTGCCCCAGTTCTCCACAGATGACGGGGATGTGGAGCCCCCACCCTCCTACAGCAAAGCTGTCAGCTTTGAGCGCCTGTCCTTTGCCTCTCAGGATGACTCTGGGGGCAAGAACCACATGGTGGTGAGCCCTGATGACAGCCGCACAGACAAATTGGAGTCGAGCATCCTACCACCGCTCACTCATGAGCTGACAGCTAGCGAGCTACTGCTCAACAAGTAAGACCACAAGCAGGCCCATGACCTTACAATACAAATTGTATTGTGAGCAAATACACATTTCTCACATGTGTCTTCTGATCTCATGTAGAGTCCATCCCAGCCCCAGACACTAAGAACAAACTCCCAATTCTAAAACTTCTTGTCCTTTAGTACTTCCATGATTGAGTCACAGAACCAACCCAAACTGCCCTGAGCCTATGTGGCCTCCTCTCCTGCATAGGGCACTGCTGGCGCATAGGGCTCCTGCTTCTAATCCTATGATAAGAGGATTGTATCTCAAAGCCTGCCAGGCAGAAAGGTCCCTGAGACTCTTATTTCCAGTTAACCAGCAAAAAGCTGGCAGTAGAGATACAGTTCAAATGGTAGATGCCAAGTTTGAGTGAAAAGCCAAGTGAGATTGTAAGGTATTGAGTTCAAACCTCAGTATCAGCACACAAAGAAGTCTAGCCATCCTAATCTGAAAATCTCAGACCCAAAAATACTTTAAATGCCACATGTAAGAAGTAGATCAACTCATACCATAAAACTTTCTTTCATGGACAAAATTTGGCAAAATAATATTGAAATTGCCCTCTGGCTATTTTAATACAATAACTATGACACATAAACTTGATGTTTAGACTTGAGTTTCCAACCAAAGTTGCTTCATTATGGACTTATTTTAAAATTTGGAAAAAAAGATCTTAAATCTAGAACACTTCCAGCCCAAAGCATTTCAACTGGATTAAATTGACTAACAAAAAATTAATGGGAGCCTAGGATGTTGGGACAAGGAATAGGGCAGGGAATTCAGTAAGAAGGGTCATGCTGAATGAAATCCAGCTGGAGACAAGAGTCTCATCATGTTTATTGTGACAGGATGTTCCGTGATGATGAGCTGGAAGAATCAGAGAAGTTCTATGTAGGCCAGCCCCGGTTCTTGCTGCTGTTCTACGCCATGTACAATACTCTGGTAGCCCGCTCAGAAATGGTGTGCTACTTTGTGATTATCCTCAACCACATGGTGTCTGCCTCCATGATCACACTCCTTCTGCCCATCCTCATCTTCCTCTGGGCTATGCTGTCTGTCCCCCGGCCTAGCCGACGGTTCTGGATGATGGCTATCGTCTATACTGAGGTAGGTCCATCACCTACACAGCCTTCTTGGATTTATGTCATTTTCACCATCAGTTACCTAGTGCTGACATTTTATATACCTCCTCATATTTCACATATCGTGGAGAGAATGGTGGAACCATTCTGTTTCCACTTAAAACCCCTAAGGGAACATCTTAAGTGAGATCAAATAATTGACTTGGGTTTCTCAACTGTTGAATGGTGGGGCGGGGGGGGGGGGGGGGTATTGGAGCCTGGTTGTGACATATGCATTATTAATCACTGAGACAGTAACTGTCTTTTGCAGAATCAAACAGCGCACTGGCATCAGCAAGTGTTCAACAAATAGACACTGAAATAACAACATACAAGAATATATTTTGAGGTTTGGGTATTGATGACTCCTGCCTGTAAACTTAGGAACTCAGGAGGTTGAGATCTGAGAATCGCAGGTTCAAAGCCAGCCAGGGCAGTAAACTCTGTGAGACACTTATCTCCAACTAACTACTAAAAAGCTGGAAATGGTGCTGTGGTTCAAAGTAGTAGAGCACAAAAGCTCAAGAACAGTGCCCACACCTTGAGTTCAAGCCCCAGGACTGGCATCAAAAAACAAAAAAAAAGAATATACTTGGAAAATTTGGCACCACTGGCTCATGTTCATGCATATAACCTATCCAGTCAAGAGGCAAAGATCTGAGGATGGAGGTTCAAAGCCAGCCTGGGCAGATAAATCTGACTCTTATTTCCAGTTAACCAACAAAAAGTGCCAGAAGTGGTAGAGTGTCAGCCTCAGGCAAAAAAGCTAACCAAGAGCATTAGGTCCTGAGTTCAAGCCCCAGTACAGCATAAAAAAAAAACCCACTTTGAATATAGTTTAGTACAACATGCATATTTCCCATATACGCCAACAGAAAATTAAATGAGCACATAAAAATCTAAATGTCAGAAAGGCTACCCTCACTCTCATTAGAAGGGGTACCTGTCTGACTAGAGTGACTTGTTTTTCCAAACTGTCCTATGAAATCATAGATGATTGTAAAGTCCCAGGAAGCCCTGGGGAATCCTCACAGCCTCATGCCCAGGCTCCTGTGGTTGGTTGTGTGGGTAAGTTTGTGAAGAAGGTTGAGTTTCCTTCTGGGTGCATAAGGACACACTTTCACTGTCAATAGCACGGCACGTGGATCTTAAAGTACAGGACTCAGAGACATCCAGTTACAGCCTAGAGATTTTATAGGATTACAAGTAATTCAACAGGCAATTAAAACAAGATATAGAGAGAATCATCTCACAATTACTGTTTAAAGCATTGAAAGTTGGGCGCTGGTGGCTCATGCCTGTAATCCTAACCACTCGGGAGGCTGAGATCTGAGGATCGCGGTTCAAAGCCAGCCTGGGCAGGAAAGTCCGTGAAACTCTTATCTCCAATAAAAACCACCAGAAAACTGGAAGTGGCGCTGTAGCTCAAGTGGTAGAGTGCTAGCCTTGAGCTGAAGAGCTAAGGGACAGTGCTCAGGCCCAGAGTTCAAGCCCCACAACTGAACAAAAAAATAAAATAAAGCATTGAAAATACGTATCTTATTCCCATGATGAAAATAAAGGCTATAAAGAAAAGTACATAGACATTACTCTAATTGAGATATTCATGTAGTTTTGCCAAAAATAGATATTGTTTGTATATTCCTATTGTAACACCTCTAGGGATGTACTGACTCCCTCCTCAGTGATGGCTAACATTCTGTTCTCTTATCCTTCTTTCTGGGAGGGAGTTTTCCAGACACCCTTCCTCACCTAGGGATGAGGAAGATACCCATAATGTAACAAAGGAGACAAGAACTGCTTGTATAACATTCATCTTAAAAATCAAAATGTTCAAACCTGGCGCCGGTGGCTCATGCCTGTGATCCTAGCTACTTAGGGGGTTGAGATCTGAGGATCATGGTTCAAAGCCAGCCCGGCCAGGATCATCCATGAGACTCTTATCTCCAATAAACCACCAGAAAACCAGAAGTGGTGCTGTGGCTCAAGTGGTAGAGTGCTTGCCTTCAGCAGAAGAGCTGAGGACAGCACCCAGGCTCAGAGTTCAAGCCCCATGACCAACCAAAAATGAAAGAAAAAAAAAAAAGAAATGTTCTTGGTTAAGTTGGGCTCCCACTTTCTGTCATATGAAGGATGAAATACATGGAAACCCCAGTTGACACTAGTTTACTCTACAATATAAACCACATGCCAAAAACCACAAGAACTATGCCCAGACTTAAGAATACATGAAGGAAAAGTAGTTGTTTTTCTTTTGCAATGGTTTACATACAGATCTGGCCAGCAGATAAGGAGGAAAGTAGAGATGAATGCCTCAGAGCTTTATGGGATCATACAGAAGTGGAGCTCAGTAGTAGAGCTTACACCTGCCACACACAAGGCCCTGAGTTCTGTGTGTAAGTACACACACATGTACATGCACGCATGCACACACATACACACACAAAAATCAAACTGTATAATGTCCAAAAGGTTCAAATTAAATCAATACATGACATATAAACACTTCCATTTTCAAGTTTGTCCTGTCATATTGTAATAACTTAATAACTATATAAATGCCTCCTAAAGAAACCAGTATAAAAGCTAATTTTTCAAAATGAGATGAAATGACAGTCACCTAAGCATCAACACATTGCCCGATGGCCTCACCGTGTCTACAGCTTATGACTCATGTGACCATGAGACATTGCTCTTGTTATAAAGTCCAGTGATATTGATATTTCACATAATTGTAGATATTCCCCCCATCAAAACTATGAAATGGGTATTTTCCTCAGTTTCTGTCAGTGTTTCTCATATATACCTATTACTAAAGAATTTCCTTTGAATTTCTGTCATTATATGTAGGTGGCAATTGTGGTCAAATATTTCTTCCAATTTGGATTCTTCCCCTGGAATAAGAATGTGGAGCTGAACAAGGATAAACCTTACCACCCTCCAAACATCATAGGGGTGGAAAAGAAGGAGGGCTATGTGCTTTACGACCTCATTCAGCTCCTGGCCCTGTTCTTCCATCGCTCCATCTTGAAGGTACTGGTCGCTCATGGTTCATCAGCTTGTGGCGATAACCCCAGCCCTAGTGCTATTCCTGGGGAACTTGAACACTGGGTTTCAGGATGGGGTCATGAGATGCCTCTGCTCCTTAAAATAAATGATAGTTCTATCTATTTAATTCCCATTTTCTCTAAATAGTCCATAAGAGAACTTGGAGTAAATCTGTATTTCAACCCTGGATTCATCATAATTAGTCCACATTTGAGAAACCTTCCTAAGTACTGGGTAGTATCTTAGCCTGATACACCAAATTCCACCTTTGTTTCAGCTAGAACCTCAGAAAACACTCAGAGATGGATCACAAGGCCACTTGTCCCCATTTATACCTCCTGCCTACTTCTAGCATTACTGCTTTTACTAGGGGGTCTCTTGTGAAACCCTTAGCTATTACTAAAGACCACAATTGGTGTGGCCAATTTGCTGTAGAGGGCACTCTTCTTCACATGACTCTAGGAAGACCTCCAGCAGGGCAATCCTGAATAGCCAGTGGAGTTTTTCTTCTCACACACTGTCATAAACAATGCTTTATTATGTCATTCAATGCTAAGGAAGTATAAATTATCCATAGCATTTTTTTCTGTACTAAGGGGTCTGTTAAAACCTTGGTGTCCTCCTGTTATTTGAAAGTTAGCTGTTTTGTTTTGTTTTGTTTTGTTTTTTTTTAAAATTTTATTTTATTTTATTTGAGAACATACTGTACAGAGGGGTTACAATTACATGGGCAGGATAATGCATACATTTCTTACCAAGCATTGCAGCCTCCTCCTTTGTTTACCCTTCACCTCCCTTCCCAGCCTCCCCCTTCCCTCCCACCCAATCATACCCCCCCACTCCCCCCCCACCGACATTGTAAAGCTGGTTTTGACATGACATTTTGTACTTCTCATTGTTGCAACAGGTCCACCTGAATCCTTAAACGACTTGTTTGTCCCCATCTCCTCCACATGTTATACTGACATCAAATATAGTGAAAGTGGGGGTTACACTGTGGGGGAGGGACATACAAAGCAACACAGAAATAATCTTATAAATGCGTTAGAAACACATGCATGAAAGAAACAAAAACATTAAAATACATATTTGAGGTTTCGTTTTCCTAACATCACATTATCTGACTTTTTCCGCTTGACTCATACCTATACTAGATATTGCAAATAAGGGAAACCATGGGACCTGTGTTTCTTTGGGCCTGGCTTACTTCACTTAATATAATTTTTTCCAAGCCTTTCCATTTCCTAACAAATGGGGAAATGTCATTCTTTCTGATGGAGGCATAGAATTCCATTGTGTATATATACCACATCTTCTTGATCCATTCATCTACTGAAGGGCATCTGGGTTCGTTCCATGTCTTAGCTATGGTAAATAATGCTGCAATAAACATAGTTGTGCTGGTAGCTTTAGTGTGGCCTTGTTTGTGATCATTTGGGTAAATGCCCAAAAGTGGGATTGCTGGGTCATTGGGGAGCTCTATGTGGAGTCTTTTGAGGAACCTCCATACTGCTTTCCAAAGTGGTTGAACAAGTTTACATTCCCACCAACAATGAAGTAAGGTTCCTTTCTGTCCACATCCCCTCCAGCATCTGTTGTTGTTGGAGTTCTTGAAAGTTAGCTGTTTTGATAACGTGTTTTAAATTTATTTTATCAACTAATATATCAGTTCCTAGGATCCTTTTTGGCACAAGGCTTGGAGTGAGTTCACATACACACACACCCCACATATATATTTTCTTTTGGTGAACTGATCATTTTCTGACTTGGTCTCCAACCACTTGGCCTGCAGTTCTTGTCCTCTTAAATTTAAGTCACAAAGGATGGAGCCTGGCAGTCCTCATGGTCAGGGGACAACCTTGTTGGAGTACTTCATGCCTAGGAACAAGGCTACAGGGAGTACTGGCAGCCTTTTGCTCCAAGGAGATCCCAAGGCTCTCAGCCTCTTGGCCTGCCATTTTTCTTCTCTTTACCAATTCCTTGTCCATTTTCATTAAGCAAACACCAGGCTCTGCGAAAGGCATCACAAGCTTTGCCTGATATTTGAGTAGAATATTTGCTTTGTTCCTGAATCAGCCTGGAGGGAGGCAGTGGTCACTTCTCATCATGCAGGCTATGGGAGGGATAGAACCATTATGGAAAGCAGAGGTACTGATGAATTTGGGGTGAAGAGGTGAGTCCTCAAAGGTCATTGCAATGCTCCCAGTTCTTGCTTCGAACACACAGACATGTTCTGGAAAGTACTTTTGTTCAAAGAACAAGTCAAGTGATTATCATTTCATCTTTATTCTATCTGCCAAAACTTTCTTAATCTTTCCTTTGTTAATCAATCAAACCGGTTACTGACAGTCATCTCTGTTCTCCTGGGACACTTGTGCAGCTTCTGTACACTTCTGTCCTTTGGTTTGCTGGGCTTGATACATACTGTACGACAGAATGCCATCTCCCCCACTAGCAATGGTGGCCTCACTTGTCACTCTTGGTCTTCAGTGTCATGGCCTATGGGATGAGGATGACATTGTTGACAATGGCACAGACAAGGAGGAATCTGATGATGAGTGCTCCCTTGGACATGGCAGAAGAGACTCTGCAGATTCACTGAAGTCCATCAACCTTGCCGCCTCCGTGGAGTCTGTGCACGTGACGTTCCCAGAGCAGCCAGCTGCCTTCCGCAGAAAACGCTCAAGCAGCAACACCCAGATCTCCCCAGGATCCAGCTTCTCTTCAAACAGGTCCAAAAGAGGTATCTGTCATATGGCTTCTAGGCTAAGCTGCCAAATGATCTCATCTTTCTGGTACCTGTGAGTCTTAGGAAGTGATGTTATTTATCAGGTGCTATCAAGAGATGGATATTGTAACGCAAAAGGAAAACGCTCTGGTGTCCGATCCAAGTTCAAGTCTTGCCTCGTTGTGTGGCTTCTTTGCTCTAAATAGCAATTTCAGAATTGGGAAAAGGTCTAGCACATTGCTAGTTAGAAAATGGCAAGCATAGGCAAAATATTCTGCTGGAATGATGTTCAGAGAACTCAGTATTTTGAAAGTGGGCTTTTCACAAAACTACCTAGTTATTTCCTAAACTACTTATGCTTGCTAATAAGCCAGTATGATCAGAAAGTAGATTTGCCCTACAGTTGCTACTCTTGGAGTAACTGAGCCTTCATATTTATGGAAACTATTATTTATTTGGAAATTTCCAAATGCTTGGGTATGCTCATCCTCAGAACCTGTTCTTCTGAGGCAGACACTTGCAGACCTCATCTTTGTCATTTTACCATTAGAGAAGTTAGGGCTTGAAAACAGGACTAGGCCATGGATTCTACCAGGAAGGCTGCAACCTAGGACTGCTGAGAACAATCAAAGCTGTTCTTCCAGAGTGTTCCCAGAAGAATCCTTGACAAATAATTTCAGAGCCCGGGTTGAAACCCCACAGATCTTGTTCAATGTAGCAGTTGAGAAGACAGCCTACTAGACACTTTTTCATGAAGCCATCTGCCCATATGTGCTCCTCAGCCATCAAGCATGTGGGCTCCACGGGCTGCCATGATACTTCTAGTGACAGATCCAATTCACCCCTCATCCTACCTCTTGTGATTTCTTTCCATTCTTTCTTGCTTTTAGGCAGTACAAGCACCCGAAATAGCAGCCAGAAAGGAAGCAGTGTTTTGAGTATTAAACAAAAAAGCAAAAGGGAACTTTACATGGAAAAACTTCAAGAGCATTTAATCAAAGCAAAGGCATTTACAATAAAGAAGTGAGTACACCAAGTCTTGGGAATGTATGTTTTGTCACAGAGCTGGGGCACTAGCTTCAGTGACTTCCTATAAACAGAGGTAAAAGACTGAGATGTCCCCTGAACCCACTTTCCAAGATTATATCTCTCTATTATTCCTCAAGCAAGGGAAGAGAAGTATGGAATCATCTTCAGAGAAGAGATCATACCTGTCTTGGCAAAAAAAAAAAAGTTCATATCTGTCCCACAAAAAGTATCTATCCCAGAAAAATTATCCTGAGGCTGAGAAGAACAGAATGATCTATTGATCATAGTGTCTGATTGTTCTCTCCTCCTCCTCCTTCTGAAGCATGTGTGTATGTGTCTTTCTCTGTCTTGCAGGACTCTGCAAATTTATGTGCCCATCAGACAGTTTTTCTATGACCTCATTCACCCAGACTACAGTGCTGTGACTGACGTGTATGTGCTGATGTTCTTGGCTGACACCGTGGACTTCATCATCATTGTCTTTGGCTTTTGGGCATTTGGGGTAGGTTTGGGCAAAGGCCTCTGGATACCCATCATTTAATGGGAAGTACCACTCAGGCCTAAACCTGTTGTCTCTCACCAGAAACATTCAGCAGCTGCAGACATCACCTCTTCGCTGTCAGAAGACCAGGTCCCTGGGCCATTTCTGGTGATGGTCCTCATTCAGTTTGGAACCATGGTGGTGGACCGAGCACTCTACCTCAGGAAGACTGTGCTGGGCAAGGTCATTTTCCAGGTCATCCTTGTGTTTGGGATTCACTTCTGGATGTTCTTCATCTTACCTGGTGTGACTGAGAGGTAAGGTCTTTACGAGCAGTGGCATGCCTGGGCAGCACCATGGAACAAGCAGCAGAAGGCTGGGATCTCTTCTAAATTGAGTACAAATCCACAGTGTGAACCAATTCCTCCAAAATATCGTAACTGCATTTTATACACATTTATAGGGAAGAGAGTTTAAGGCAAGAGAGATGGCAGCCTGTATTGTGTTTGCCTCTATATTTCAGTCCATATGGGGTATGATTAAAGCTTGGTCTTAAGAGTAATTTACAGGAGGGCTGGAAATATGGCTTAGTGCTTGCCTATCATGCATGAAGCCCTGGGTTCCATTCCTCAGTACCACATAAACACAAAAAGCCGGGAGTGGAGCTGTGGCTCAAGTGGTAGAGCACTAGCATTGAACAAAAGAAGCTCAGGGACAATGCCCAGGCCCTGAGCTCAAGCCCTAGGACTGGCCAAAAAAAGAGTACTACTCAGGAGTGGAGATGTGGCTCAAATGCTTTCCTGGCAAGCATGAGTCTCTGAGTTCAAACCCCAGTACTGCCAAAAACAAAGTAAAGCAAGGAAACAAGACTATGTTAATGCTTAATGTCCAAATAAATTAATTATAAATGGGAAATATCCCCTCTGTTAGATCATAAAAGAAAATGGTCCACAGAGGTAAATGTAGAAGTATCTGTATAATGTAACAGGACTGGTCTTTTCTGTACGTCTGAGTTTGTATTCACAAGCAAGGGGGATCTCTTAGCTACTGGTTGGGACAGCCATGTGCCTAATCCAGGAAACCTGCCTTTGTGAAACACAGTTGAAGTGCTTCTTTGTATTAATTCACCGGACTGGACTATATATTTTTAATACCCTCAGGCATCATGGAAAAAGTCTTCATATTCTTTTGTTTGTTTGTTTTTTGGGAGAGAGAACAATATTAATGTTTTGAACTGAGGCCTCAGACGCTATCAATTATGACAATACTGCAGCCCTTTTGCTTTAGTTATTTTTCAGACATTTAGTTATGTTTCAGGGTATTTTTTTTTTTACATTTTTGCCCAAGACTAACCTGGATCAAGATCATCCTACCTCTGCTTCTTGCAGAGCTGGGATTAATAGGTGCTATGCCCAGCTCCCAAATATAACGGCCAATCATAACTGCTTTTAATTTGGACTATGGTAGTTTATGTTGTTATAAGTTATTAATAAATATACTTAAAAGCAATTTACTGTAATCATGGCTTTTGCAACTACATGCACATTGGAAGCTCCATTAATTATTAGATTTTCTTGCCTCGCCTTTTGTCTTTGGTACACTCCACTGTTAAAGAATTCCTTTAAGTGACAGAAATGGAATTTGTTGGTTTTTAATTCCAACTTGTATCTCTTTACAGTAACAAAATATTTTCATGATTTTGAATATTTTTACATTGTAGGAAATTCAGCCAGAACCTGGTTGCCCAGCTTTGGTACTTTGTGAAGTGTGTTTACTTTGGACTATCTGCCTATCAAATCCGCTGTGGGTACCCAACACGAGTCCTGGGAAACTTCCTCACCAAGAGCTACAATTATGTCAACCTCTTCTTGTTTCAAGGGTGAGGATTCTGTGTGTCACCGTCACTGATGGAGTGTGGGCTGACAACTGTTTCCTACATAGAAAGAGAGAAGGCAACTACAGAGATGTCAGCCATGAAACACCTTTCTGAGTGTAATTGCCCCTCACCTGCTGAGAAAGTTGTCCAAGGATCATCCACATGGGATAATTTTCTATTTTAGTATTGTACTTAATTACTCTGAAAATACTTGGGGTTGAAAATGGGGTTCATGACTGTAATCCTGTCTACTCAGGAAGCTGAGATATGAGGATCATGGTTCAAACCCAGCCCAGATATGGAAAGTCTTGAGACTCTTATATCCAATTAACTACAAAAAAATGCTGGAAATGGAGCTATGGCTCAAGTGGTAGAGCACTATCCTTGAGCAAAACAGCATAGGAACAGCACCCAAACCCTGAGTTCAAGCTCCAGGACCAGCACCAAAAGAAAAAAAAAAGAAGTTATATAATCCTTAAATATTAATAAACTTCTGAGAACATTAGAACAGACCATTGAAAACACTTTTGGAATTGGAAGAGAGGGTTTTATCCCACCAAAACCCACCTGAACGCCACTGGCTTACTTTACCATGGATAGTGAGTTCGTTCCTCAGACAGTGGATTTGCTCTTCAGTTCCAGGATTCAGTGCAGCATCTTTTCACCATCCCCCGGATGTGAAAATAAAAATGAAAAATGTGAAAGAAACTGATGAGTCATTTACCACATGAATGGCAGGTGCTGCTGCCTGCTCCATGACAATGCACCACAGCTAGGTTCTGGCAACCAGTCCAGCTGTTGTGAACAGCGACACATTGAGCACTGTTTCTTTCAGTTCTAGATTGGGCCTGAGCCTTGTTTGTACTTCTTTTAAGAATTAGATTGTTGCCCCCTTTATGGAGCCAAGGTAGCCCAAGTGAAAATTTCTCAGTGATTAGAATTCTGGAATAGGCCCAAATTCCCCAGCCTGGGAGAAGATCTGCATCCCTCAAGAATTCTGAACATTCTTCAGAGCCTAGAGGAGCCCAGTCCTAGCTATGACATGCAAAAGAGACTAAGACAGAGGCAACTGGTCTACTCACAGAGGGTCTTCCTGTGCTTGGTTCCACTGACATGTCCCACTGACTTCTCCCATTTGCCCTCATCTTTCATTACCAGATGTATTATTTTTACTAATATGTTTACCAGAAGAAAAAAAACAACAACTAATTCAATAACCCTATGGCCAACAGATTCTCAAACAAATAAATGTGAAAGAAACTAAATGGAATCCAGACAGATGCTAGGACTCACACTTAGCTACTCAGAAAGTCTGAACGTTTGGAGATCATGGTTTGAATCAAGCCTGGGCAGAAAATCCATGAGACTCTTATCTCCAGTTAACCACCAAAAGTAGAGATGTGGCTCAAATTGTAAAGTGCCCACCTTGCTTGAAAAAGCCAAGTGAAAGCATAAGGCTCAGAGTTTAAGCATCAGTATGGTACTTGTGCAAGCACATGCAAACATAGGTTATAACTAACAGGGAAAGTGAAAAGAATGAAAAATACTAATGTACATATTGAGCTCATAATGAAATGCAGTTGTGCTCCATGTTTAGTTTTCCTGGGAGAGTCACCTTGAGAATTTTTCTTCTGCCATTAGGTTTAAATGAAGGAAGTGCATGCATTCTTGAGGTGAGGTAGATAATGGGGCCACCTCACAAATACTTCTCTGACAAGATGTGGTTTCTGGCAGGTTCCGGCTCGTTCCATTCCTGACTGAGCTGAGGGCAGTGATGGACTGGGTATGGACAGACACGACCTTGAGCCTCTCTAGCTGGATTTGTGTGGAGGACATCTATGCCCACATTTTCATCCTGAAGTGCTGGCGAGAATCAGAAAAGGTAAGAAACCCATAAAAGTGCCCCTTCTCCTTTGTTTCACTTGTAAAACAGATTGCTTCCCAGATTCATATAGATGGTGGGCATTTTGTGGCCAAACAAACATATGTGCAGGCAAAAATTGACATGACCTATAAATAATTGTGCATTGATTTCCAACTCACTGGAGTTAGAGGTTTTAATCTTACTTCTGCCTGTGTCAGCAATAGCGTGCAAATGTTTCTGCTTCTAGGTGCAGTATATTGTAGTTATTCTCAGGGTGTTCTTTGGGACAGAGGCTAATGGAATGGCTAGGCCTCATGTTTACCTTCCGGTTCCTCTTTCAGGAGGGCTGGGAAATCAACCTCTTTATGCAAAAGAAATTGAAGTATCAATATTTGTTTTATTCTGCTATGTTTTTCTGCTCTTAAAATACAAATGAGATTTATTGGATTTTTCAAAAGTTTAGCTAGCATATAAAAACTTGTTGCAAAATAGCAATTAAAAAATACCTAGGCTCATACCTGTATTCCTAGTTCTAAGCCAGCCTGAGCAGGAAAGTCTATGAGACTCTTATCTCCAATAAACAACAACAAAAAAAAGTCAGAAGTGGAGCTGTGGCTCAAGTGGTAGAGTGTCAACCTTGAGTGACATCATCCAGGCCCCGAGTTCAAGTCCCAAAACTAGCACACCAAAAATAGTACTCTCTTTGGAAACCTCTCCCCGATCTACATAAATTCTCTTGTGTACTTTGAATTCCCAGTACATGTTTCACTTTCCAGTCATAGGCCCATTGTGCTGCAGCCTCTATGTTTTTGAGGCTGGTGGGCCAAAGGAGATGGAACTGAACATATGCTCAAAATTGTCTTAGCAAAGGGAGCTTTGGGAGCTTTTAGGGAGCAGAAGGTATTGACATAATAACAAGATGACTTAATCTGCTTTTTGGGGTGGGGTTAGAAGCGCTGAGATTTGAACTCAGGGCTTCCTACTTGCTAAGCACTTGCTCTGCCTTTGAGCCACAGGCTCCTGCCCTCTTTGTGTTGGTTGTTTTTTGACATAGAGTTTCACTTTATGCCTGGAACAGTCAGAACTGCAATCCCCAAGTTGCTAGGATTAGAGGAGTGAGCCATTGCACTCAACTCGGCTCATTTTTGTTGTTGTTGCTATAATAGAAACCCTGAGACTAGGTGATTTATAAAAAGAAGTTTGTGTGGGCCCCCAGTTCTGGAGGACAGGAAGGTGCTGGCACCGGTTTGGCTTCAGCTAATGACTTCCCATTGCTTCATGATGATAGAAATCAGGGAAACAGCCAGGCATGTGTGGAAGAGGAAAGGATTAAGTTCCTACGATAGCAAGCCTATTTCCCCAAGAAACACCAATCCATTCATAAAGGCCAAAATGCCTTTATCACCTCCCAACCCTGTTAGCTTAGTGATCAAGGCAGCACAGACAAACTATATATAAACCAAAGCATAGAATATAAGAGTCACCATATCAAAGGGATATTTATGGTAGCAATCAGGGCGACAGAGTATCTAGAAATCATTATATATGAGAAAAATAATTATTTACTCTAAAGTAAGAGAACAGAGAATTATTTTCTCTAAAATAGTTGTGTTCAACAACTTGAAATGTTGGAAAGAATGCAAGCTAGAATTAATTAGTGAGACAGAAACCAACCAACCAGCTAAACAAAAAAAAGAGAATTAAGACAAGTGGCCAAAAGGTCCATCTAGCTTCACTGGAATACAAAAAGAAAGAAAGAAAGAAAGAAGGAAAATCCAGTGATTAAAGTTACTCTATTACTAAATTGTCTTGTTTCAAGAGCAGGTATGTTGCTTAGATATATGCAAGCCACACAAAAAAGCACAGATGAAATTGATATCAGGAAGGGACTCAGTTCACGCTCAGGTGTTAGATCACACCTTAACAAAGCACCTGAGATAAATCAACTTAAAATGAGAAAAAGTTTATTTGTGACTTGCAGTCTTGAAGGTTTCAGTCCATAACCACTTGTTATTACTTTGGGCGTTTGGAAGCATACTTCTCCATGGCAAGAAGCATGTAGCAGAGGCTTGTCCAGCCCATAATGACTGGGAAGCCAAAAAAAAAAAAAAAAAAAAAGAGTAAAGTCCCACAATCCTTTACCAAGGACTTCCCACTAAGATCCTGCTTCTTGGAAGGCCCATTACCTTCCAGGAGCACAAAGGCTTTAACCTACAGACCTCTAGGGGGCATTCAGATCCAAACAACATTTCAGCTACAGGCTTGTGTAAAACAAGAAAGGAATTAACTTCCTATGATAGCAAGCCCATTTCCCCAAGGAACATCAATCCATTCATAAAGGCCAAAATACTTTATAAAGTGTTCGCCATCTCCCAACCCTGGTAGCTTAGCGATCAAGGCAGCACAGGCAAGCTGTATGTAAACTGAAGCACAGAATAGAAGAGCCACCATACCAAAGAGATATTGATGGTAGCAATCAGGGTAACAGAGGATCTAGAAATCATTACACAAACATTTGTTAAGTACATTTCAGTGAGCAGAACTCAGGTGAATATGGGCTTGGTAGGATTTTAGGAGGGAACTAGTCATCCAATGACCACAAAATTATGGATCTGATGGCTCAGTGGATAGAAACAGACATTCACAATCTGGTCCCACAAATAAATCCAGTAGATGACAAATTCTTTGTCACAGGGACAAAGAGGTACTCTGAGACAGTTTCAGAGGAGAGCGGACTCCTCAGGGAGGCAGGGTGGCTGCTGTAATGTTGACAGCTAATGGAGAAGTGTGAATTGCCTAGGTACAGCAGGAACATCCACTTTTTTACATCAGCCTCTGAGTCCTCTCTTTCAGGAATACCTCTGTCCCCTTTCCTCCACTCAACAGGGAGCTATTCATTGTATGTTTAACTTCTTTCTTCCTCAGATAAGGCCTTGAGATGCTTCCTCGCTGTCTGGAGCATTCTGCCTGATCTTCCATAATCTACTTCCTTTCTCACTTCAGAGGTTAACTTTAAGGACTCTTTCTTTTGGGCCTCTGTAGAACCCTAAGTTTATACCATCTCTCCCTAGGGACTCTCAAAAACCTCCTTCTTTATTATAAGACTGTGTTATGGTTATTATAGTAATATCTGGAAAGTCATAAGCCCACATGTGCCAGCCACTCACTCCTGTGCAGATTCCACATGATTTCCTTGCAGCCCCTTCCCAGCATTCTCTGGGAAGCGGATGGGAAATGTAGCCTGAGATGGCCTGGCCTTGGGAAGAGGAGTGGGTGATGAGGGCCCACTTTGGCAGAACAGACCACAACTGTCCTTGGCAGAGATAAGACACATTGGCTTTGCCGGGGGCTTAGCTCATGTGGTAGAATGCTTGCCCAAGTTCAAGTCCCAGTGCCATCAAAGAGAGAGAGAGAGAAAGAAAGGGAGATACATTTTTTTCTTTAGCTCACAGATTCCTTCACAATGCAATGCCAGAGTTGTGGTATACTGACAGGAGTGCCCTCAACTTGCTTCATTGATTAAATAGTGGAAAACAAATCAGTTCATTTGCATATCCTCACAGAGAGAGAGAGACAGACAGAGACAGAGAGAGACAGAGAGAGAGAGAGATGTCAATTTTTAAAATATCGAACTCTAGTTTTATTTGTGAAACTGTAAATTAGAATGTTAGAATCTGGGTGTACCTGTAATCCCAATCATTCAGACCAGCCCAGATAAATTTTTTTGAAAACCCTTCCTGGAAAAAAAATTAAAAGCAAAAGTTGTGTAGATGTGGCTCAAAGGACAGAACGTTGGTCTAGCAATCACAAGTTCAATCCCAGTATTAGGGATGGAAAGACCCTGAAAGATCACAAGAGAAGGATTAACACAAGAATGCACAGGTAGATCTGAAGCAGTTTTGATACTGAGGAGCAGAGATGCCCCCTCGCACTTCCCACAGCACTTAGTGGAAACTCACTAAGTCTGCTTTAAAGCCAGTGGAACCAACTCCAGTTTTATAGTTGCAGTGTGCTGACTCTTCCTTCTGCCACTCACATCCCTGCACTCCTCTTGCTTCTTCATCCAGCACCCAGGGGAACCTGACTCAGATTCTTGATTGAAACAGCCTTGTTAATCATTCACATTTTACTTTTATACCTGATAGCAAACATCAGGAATTCAATTTCTGTATGTGTGCAGGTATTTGGGTTTGAACTAAGGACGAGGAACTCTTGTTCAACATTTCCTTCATGGTTTTTTGTTACGTTTTATTTGCTGGTTAATTGGAAATAAGAGTATCAGGAACTTTCTGCCTTGGCTAGCTTCAAACCATGATCCCCAGATCTGAGCCTCCCGAGAAGCTAGGATTATAGGTATAAGCCACTAGCACCAGCTTCAGGAAATCAATTTAAAACAATGTCTTTCTACCCTCCATGTGCAGGCAGAGTTGATTTCAAGGTACTCACTTTGAATATTTAGGAATTTAAAACTTCTTTTCCATATATAATACCTTAAAGACATTGTTTATGCAGCAGGACATGTAACTCACATATCACTAACAAAACCCACATAACTTTTCAGGGTCCTCTTTTTTTTTTTGCCAGTCCTAGGACTTGAACTCAGGACCTGGGGATTGTACCTGAGATTTTTGTTGGTGGTGGTGGTAATGGTGGTGACGGTGGTCATGGGTCTAGAACTCTGGGCACTATCCTTCAGCTCTACCACTTGAGCCATAGTGCTACTTCTGGTTTTCTGGTGGTTAATTGGAGAAAAGAGTCTCACAGACGTTCCTGCCCAGACTGGCTTTGAACCATGATCCTCAGATCTCAGCCTCCTGAGTAGCTAGGATTACAGGCGTGAGCCATTAATGCCCAGCTGTCGCTGAGATTTTTTTTATGTTCAAAGCTTTTATGTTCATTCTTCCACTTGAGCCACAGCTCTACTTCTGGCTTTTGTGGCAGTTAATTGGAGATAAGAGTCTCATGGACTTTTCTGTCCAGGCTGGCTTCAAACCACTATCCTTAGCTCCTTAGCTAAGATTATGGGCATGAGCCTGGGATACCCACCTTCAGGGTTCTTTTGGCCCCCTTTGGCACCACCTTGTGGACCAGGGGACATGATGTAAACTTGGCACAGCTTCACACCACTTTTCAAGGTTGCTATCCCCATGTCAGTGTAAGCAGAAAAGAATCAGGCCAAAGCCCCCATTCTCCAACCCTGTGAAGAGTGTTGGCCTTCTCATTCCATGCATCCCCTAGCATGTGTGTGTGAGCCTTTCTGAATCCTTCTCTTGCAGAGATACCCCCAGCCCCGGGGCCAGAAGAAAAAGAAAGTGGTAAAGTACGGCATGGGTGGCATGATCATCGTCTTGCTCATCTGCATCGTCTGGTTCCCTCTTCTCTTCATGTCCTTGATTAAATCTGTTGCTGGAGTTATCAACCAGCCTCTGGATGTCTCAGTCACAATCACCCTGGGAGGATATCAGGTAATCTGGGTCTACCCTACTTCTAGAGCCTTTCCTGAGGCTGCATTCTTCCAGGAATGCCTTCAAGAGTATTTAGTGGTGGCTGGCAATTCCAATATCTTGCCCAGATGTTGACTGTTAGCCAACGTGAGTGTGAAGTAGATTCAGGAGATGGAGAAACTCAATTCATTGCCTCACATCTCTGAGGCCCTGGATTTGAACCCTAGTACCACCAACCAGCTGGTTTGAACACAAGAACAATCGCTGCAAAGTTGAGCAAAATGTCTCAGGCTTGTAATTCCAGATACTCAGTAGGTGGAATAGAGTGGTTGACCTAGGCACCCATGGCTCATGCCTGTCATCTTAGCAACTTAAAAGACCAAGCTGTGAAGATCACAGTTCAAAGCCAATGTGGACAGTATATCTGTGATACCCTTATTTCCAATTAACCACTAAAAAGCTAGACATAGAGCTGTAGCTCAAGTGGTCAAGTGCCAACCTCAAGCAAAAAAATCTAAGGAACATTGTCCAGACCCTGAGTTCAAACCCACCTACCAGCATATACTCTCTCTGTGTCTCTGTCTGTGTCTCTGTCTGTCTCTGTCTCTCTCATTCTCTCCTTTCTCTCTATCTCTGTCTCTCTCTGTCTCTATCTGTCTGTCTGTCTGTCTGTCTGTCTGTCTCTCTCTCTCTCTCTCTCTCACACACACACACACACACACACAGACAGAGTGGTTTGAAGCCAGCCTAGGAAGTTAGCAAGACCCAATCTTAATAAATAAGCTGAATGTGGTGGCATGTGTTTGTAATCCTAGCTAGATAAGAGGCATAGGAAAGGAGGACCCTGGTCTGAGGCCATTCCTGGGCAAAAATGCAAGACCCTATCAAAAAAAAATATCACCTAAAGCAAACAGGGCTCAGGAACATAGCTTAAGTGGTAGACTATCTACCTATCAAACCCCAAACCACCAACAGAGACAGAGACAGAGACAGAGAATGATCTCTGAGGTCAGCTGCCTCAGGATACTCAGTGGTTGTACTGTGCAAATGCTTTTCTTCTAACCCGGGATATAGGGAAGTACTGGCAATGCTTACAGCCCATTTGCCTTTGTTTTCCAGCCTATTTTCACAATGAGCGCTCAGCAAAGCCAGTTGAAAGTGATGGACCAGCAAAAGTTTAATAAATTCATGAGAGCTTTCTCTAGGGATACTGTAAGTAAATATATGCAGTAGATCTCTATGAAGACCTTGCTCTAGGTGAGCCCAGCACTTGTTATAAATTGCTTAATATTTTGCCATGGTTGTAGTGGTTGGAGGAGAACTTTTCTGGGATTATCTGTTACCACTGGCTAGTCTGATAATTTAAGAAGGTATGTCTATTTATTAGGCATAAATGGTAATAAACGTAATTTAAATTAAGAATAATTTAATGTAAGTTCAATAGCTTTTGATCCATTAAAAAAAACTACAGTAGATATGGCTCTTTGACTGGCATGTCTATTCTGAGAATCTGTCCTCAGAAAGGAATTCAAAATAGGGGAAAGCACCATGTAGGTATTTTCTTAACAGCAGAAATTGAAAGTAATTTGAAGGTTTGCTAAGATTGGTTGGTGGCAGAGATTATAACAGTTCTATTGAGTTTACCACTGGTCCCCTTCCATGGTCATGGGGAGAGAAAGAGCTTCCATTCTTTACCCTGTTTATTCATTCTCTGTCTGAAGATTTTACAAGCAACTTCTTTTGTAAAACATTGAGCCAGGTGCCAGTGGCTCACACCTATAATCATAGGTACTCAAGAGGCTGAGATCTGAGAATTGTGGTTCAAAACCAGCTCAGGCAGGAAATCCTGAGACTCTTTTTTTTTTTTTTAATTTTATTTTATTTTATTTGAGTACATACTGTACAGAGGGGTTACAATTACATGGGCAGGATAATGCATACATTTCTTACCAAGCATTGCAGCCTCCTCCTTTGTTTACCCTTCACCTCCCTTCCCAGCCTCCCCCCTCCCCCCCACCCAATCATACCCCCCCTCCCCCCCCCCACACCGACATTGTAAAGCTGGTTTTGACATGACATTTTGTACTTCTCATTGTTGCAACAGGTCCACCTGAATCCTTAAACGACTTGTTTGTCCCCATCTCCTCCACATGTTATACTGACATCAAATATAGTGAAAGCGGGGGTTACACTGTGGGTGAGGGACATACAAAGCAACAAAGAAATAATCTTATAAATGCGTTAGAAACACATGCATGAAAGAAACAAAAACATTAAAATACATATTTAAGGGTTCGTTTTCCTAACATCACATTATCTGACCTTTTCCGCTTGACTCATACCTATACTAGATATTGCAAATAAGAGAAACCATGGGACCTATGTTTCTTTGGGCCTGGCTTACTTCAGACTCTTATCTCCAATAAACCACCAAAAAAGCCAGAAGTGGAGCTGTGGCTCTAGTGATAGAATGCTAGCCTGGAGCAAAAAAGCTCAAGTACAGCACCCAGGAATTCACCCCAGGACCAGCATAAAAAGAAATCATCATCATCACCATCATCACAAAGCCTATCAGAGTTATCCAAGCTAAAACACCAATTTAAAAAAATAGAGAGACTATTACATTTTAAAATATTAAACAAGAAAAGAAAATATTGAACAGTAAGAAAGACAATGAATGACAATGTTCTGGTGACCAACTTATAGTTGATATTAATTGTTAACATCATGATAATGCGATAACATGGTTTTCATCATTAAAATTAGTTCTATAAGTTATGATTAGGGCCAGGCACTGGTGGCTCATGTCTGTAATCCTAGTTACTCAATAGGCTGAGATCTGAGGATTGAGGCTCGGAGCCAGCCTGGGCAGACAAGTTCTTGACATTCTTTTCTCCAATTAACCAGCAAAATGCTGGAAGTGGCGGTATAGCTCAAATGGTAGAGCACCAGATTTGAATGAAAAGCTAAGTAAGAGTACAGAGTCCTGAGTTTAGGCCCCACTGCCAGCACACAAAAAAGAAAAAAGAAAAACTACTTGTATAAAATTACCATGGCATTGTCAAACTAATCTTGAACAATGAACAACTAGTTAAAACAGCCAGGATGTCCTAGGTGGACATTCTCTTTTTTTTTCATAAATTTCTTCTCTCCTTGTGTAAGGAGAGAAGAAAGATAACAAGAAACTATTTGGATAACCATTATTGCTTAATTAGGACACTTCTTTCGGGTACTAACACTAACCCCCAGGTGATTGACAGCTGCCATACCAGTGGGCAATGGAACATAGCATCTATGTATCAAGTAAAGATTCCTTTCCTAGCAAGAAATCTGTGCAGTCAAAGGGAGGAGTAATTGTTTTATTTATAAGCATATGTCTCTAATTGATTTATGCATGTGCATTTGTGCACATACAGGGCGCTATGCAATTTCTGGAAAATTATGAAAAAGAAGACATAACGGTAGCAGAATTGGAAGGAAACTCCAATTCTTTGTGGACCATCAGCCCTCCCAGTAAGCAGAAGATGATACAAGAGCTCACGGACCCCAGCAGTAGCTTCTCTGTTGTTGTCTCATGGAGTATTCAGAGGTAGCTGCTGCGTTTCCATGCCTCACTCCCCAGCCCCATCTAAACCTGGGTGGGAGGTGGACAGAAATATTAGATTAATGCAGAGCTTACTCTATCATTACACAGATGGGAGCCTTCCTTTCATGCTAAAGCTAATGTTTTTGTTTACTAAATAATGACTTGTCCAGGAGCCCATGACCAAACTAAGAAATTCTTAGGCTTTAGTTAGTTAGTCAATGAATTTTGTTTTGAGTAAGAGAAGAAGTAGAGAAGCAAGAAACAGGATGATGGCTTATAAAATGAAATAAGTCTGTGTGAATTATTGAATTTTCTAAAAAAGGTTGAAGCCATAGTAATGAAGAAATTGAATCCTTTTCAGGATGCAGAGATAGGAAGATCTTAGTCTAAAGTTACCTCAGGCAAAAGTTAGCATGAGATTCTGTCTTAAAAATAAATCAGGAATGGTGTTACATTCCTTTTCCCAACTACTCAGGAGGCAGAGGTACGAGGATCACAGATCAAGGCATCTCAGGCAAGGTTAGCTTGAGATTCGATCTCAAAAATAGACTAAAAGGACAGAGGCATGGTTCAAGTGGTAGAGTACTTGCCTAGCAAGTATAGGCCTTAAGTTCAACCATCAATACCACCACAACACAAAGAGAGAGAGAGAGAGAGAGAGAGAGAAGAGAGAGAGGAGAGAGGAGTGAGGGAAGGAGAATAGGAGGAGAAAAAGAAAGATTCAAAGATTAGTTTATGAAGGCTTGGCCTCTTATGAATTATTAGTAGTACTTTTCTCTAACCTTGGAGGGATCTTGATCTGAAGACAACTAGAAGTGGAAAATGAATTGAAATTCCTCTTCCAATCCAACTGGAACTAGTAGCAAGCATATACAGCCACTTCTTTGTCATTGCTTATGTAGACAGTATCTTACTAAAAGTTCTGGCTTCCAAACATTGTACTGGTGCTTTTTATGATGCATTGGTCTCACCATGTCCTAGGTGATTACCTTTTGTCTCTGTCATAATAGTCATAAGATCAAGACTCCAGAAAGTCTTGATACCACTTCTTCATTAAAATTAAGAATCATGACAGGGACAAAAGAAAGCCTTCTGGAATCTTCTATGAATCCACAGGATATAGGAAAGAGCTGCCTTTGAAGAGACCTATGCAGACCTATTTTAGAATACCAATTTTAATCTTATTTTTTGTCCTAAGTGTTCCCCATATCTCATGCCAATTTCTATATCAGTTGCCAAAAAAATTAACTTCTAGACTTTTTCATTGAAGAGCTACCACTAAAACCTAATAGAAAAAAGATTAAATTAAAAACTCAGTTTAAATATGGCTTCCATTAGTCCTTGTAAAGGCCAATACTGTTGGATTAACATAAGAATGTCCTTGAGCTGGGCACTAGTGACTCTTACTTACTCATGAAGCTGAGATCTGAGGCTCAAGGTTTGAAGCCAAGCCAGGCAGTAAAATCTGTGAGACTCTTACCTGCAACTAGCCACCAAAAAGCCAGAAGTGGAGGTATGGTTCAGATGGCAGAGCACCAGGATTGAGAGCAAAAACTAAGGCACAGTGTCCTCTTAGTGATGCATTCAAGCCAAAAAAAAGTCTCTAAAATTTGTATCAGTGAAGCAAAATTGTTTCTCTTGGGGCAGCAGCCTCTGCCTCCTCTCCCTTGACTGTCTTGTAGTTTCAATGGGTTTATTAACTTGATTGTTTAAGGAACTAGATGTAGAAATAAGGTGAACAGAAAGGGTTGAGATAAAACTTGGGTAAGAAGTCTTGATAAAATGCTAAAACTGTAAGCCAAGTGAGTTTGTAAATGTCTCCTGCAGACTGTAATAATCACTGACATTGAGCCTTGTTTTTCTTCACAGAAATATGAGTCTGGGTGCAAAGTCAGAAATAGCAACAGATAAACTTTCTTTCTCTCTTCAAAATATTACAAGGGAGAACATAGCTAAAATGATTGCTGGAAATGACACGCAAAGTTCAAACACACCAGTGTAAGTTCCTTTTCCCTGTGATATGCTTTATCAAACATACATGGCTGGTAAAAATTCTCACATGGTAATGCCATGTCCTTCATCCTTTGAAAACACCAGATTTCTAAGTCACTAAAAAATATGATGTGATGAATACTTCGCAGTGCTGGAGGCTCATGCCTGTAATTCTAGCTATTCAGGATGCTACGTTCTGAAGATCACAGGAAAAAGCCTGGGAGATTCTTATCTCAAAATTAAAAAAAAAATGAGCTGGAAGTAGAGCTATCGCTCAAACAGTAAAGCAGAAAAGCTAACAAACACCACCCAGGCACTGAGTTCAAGCTCCTAGGAGCAGTACAAATTAACACTAAATCCCACCTTTTTTTAAATTACAGGACAATAGAAAAGATCTACCCGTATTATGTGAAAGCACCCAGTGATTCTAATTCAAAACCAATCAAGCAACTTTTATCTGGTAAGAATGAGATGTTACTTCAGAACAATTCCATTTCAGCAGTCTGTGTGTTGAGCAAATTTCTCAAGCTATTTCCAGTTACCTTTCTGTGTGTGACAGGAGCCATGCAACTTTCGGTCTGCTTTCTCCGGCTAAAGGGCTCCCTGATAGTCAGGTGACATGTTTTTCATTTTCTGTTCCACATTGACTCTACAATACGTGACTAACTTAGATCATGCTCAGTGACGTGCAGTGCTGATTTCACTTACTTGTTTCTGTGATCAACCAGATCCTTTCACACATCCTTAAGTACAATAGTCTCTCCCACTCAGAATAGTAAAAAGACAGCAAGATACGTACTTGATTTGGCCTAATGGTTAAGAATTATCAATAGTCATGATTTAGTGACTGGATCATTCCAGAGTATTAGTGATGACCAAAAACTGATACATTTAGATGACAATCATGTGCCATGTGGCATTCTAGTCAACCACAGACCATATCCATGTTTCACATACATGTGACGATGTGTCACCACACCTAGATGTGTGAGCAAACAAGTTGTACCATGTAGATTTGTGCGAGTCCCCTCTGTAGTGTTTGCAGAGTGACAAAATTACATAATGTGTTCCAGTCACTGAATAGATACATGACTGCGATTTACTTCTACAGAACTGCCTGGCTTCCCCAGGTGCTGGTGGCTCACACCTGTAATCCTAGCTACTCTGGAGACTGAGATCTGAGAATCGCTGTTTACAGCTAGCCTAGGCAAAGAAGTCCATGATATTCTTATCTCCAGTTCACATCCCAAAACCAGAAATAAAAGTGTGGCTCAAGTGGTAGAATGCCAACCTTGAGCAAAACAAGTGAGAACATGAGGCCCTGAATTCAAGCCTCTGTATGGTGCGTGCACATACACACACACACACACACACACACACACACACACACACACACACACAAGAGGTAGAATAGAATGCAGGTATCTTGTGTTCATTCATTCATCAACATGAATGAGTGATTTTGCACCATGCACTGTGCCAAGAACTGGAGCTCCATGCTGCTCATGGCTAGTTGAAACAGCAGAAATGTTGAAAGCAGTTAGAATCCTAGTCAGATTTGGTGAGAGTGAGGCAGGAGAGGGTGGATGGACACAAGACCTATTTCATCTTCCCTTCAGGAAATGGACATGCCTTGAAAAGTACAAGGTACATTGGGAAATGGGCTATTTCCTTTTGATCAGAGATAGTCATAGTAATGTTTACTCTGAGAGTACAAATCATTCAATAAGCAATCACTTCCCAGGAAACACTCTGATCCTTCTACAAGCTGTTGTCAAAGCGATTCTGTCTTCAAGCTCTCTCCTGTCACTGTATTAACCTGGCAGGAGATGCTCCTGAAGCTTCTGGTCTCTCCTTAGAGCACGTCTTCTTTCACAAGCTCCTTCCTCCTGCCCTTCAGGTTCAAAGGAAAGTGTGCTGTCTCTTCTTTCCAAGGTCAGCCTCTCCTGTGCCTACTCCCAGCCTCTTGCACCTTCAGCCAGAGGGATTCTGAGTTCCCTCTTCCTTCCCATCCCCTGCCTCCTCCATCTCTGCCTTTCAATAGTATCCCCACAAGGTGTATTTAACCCAAATTGATGGATAGCGAAGAAACTGAATGGCACCACAAGTAGAGGTAACCACTATATAATAGAACCAGACCCAGACCTGGAGCCATCTTGGCCCCTGGCCAGGTGTAACTTGTAACTAACTGCCTCAGGTCTTCAGAAATAATTGTTATTACTATTCCTGAGTGTTCCTAGTGAATCTTGTATAGATCCATCCATCTGTCCATGTCTCCAGAAGACATTTACTGCCAAGCACTGCCCTAGATTTCTGCAATCCAATATCTTAATGCAGAGCTCGTTTCTACTCTCATGAAGTTCACAGCTCACAAGGGTGTTGATCTGGGCAGGCACTGTTGCTGGTGACTGGGGCTGCACTGTCTTGGTGGGACATAATTCGAAGATCGTTTGCCTCATCCTTCCCTGCTCCTTTGTGTTTGCTTTATGCTCCAACAAAAGCAACCACTGCTCCACAATCTGGATTTCAGAACACGACAGAGCTTCATACCATCAATCTTTATTTTGTTGTTCTCGTAAAGGTGATGTACAGAGGGGTTACAGTTACATATATCAGATAATGAGTGTATTTCTTTTTGAACAGTGCCACCCCTTCCCTCCATTTCTCCCAGTGTATCCCTTTGGATCCCTCCCACAGGTTGTGTAGTCCATTTTCAACATAGTGTCTAGTGAGTACCACTGCTGCATTGAGTCACCCTTTGTCCCACAAATTCTGTGGGACTTACTCTCACCAAAACAGTTAAACTTACATACAAGAAAAAAAGTACCCAAAAAAATCAGAGAAAAAAGCAAAAAGCAAAATAACAAAAAATCCTCATTTCTATTTCTTGACATTCATTGTGATAGCTATCATTTGATCTTATGCATTTAGCGATTGAGCCTTTGTGATCCTTTCCTATGAGTATCTTCCTTTGGTCTCACTGTGAATATCAAGAATCCTGTATGATTTATTATGTCCAAGTGTATCTTTTGTCTTTTGCCATCCAGGCAATGTACCAGGCACATTCTAGTTACAATAAATAAGAAAACTATCATGCCATCAAACTTTCCCAAAATGATCTCCTCTCCCCTCTTCCAACTCCACCTATTGAAATGAGCAAACAAAACTTGTGTGATGGCACATACCTGTAATCCCAGCACTAAAGACTAGCCTAGGTCACATAGTGATATATTGTCTCAAAAAAGAAGGAAGGGAAGGAGGAAGGGAGGGAGGGGGAAGGAAGGGAAAGAAAGAAAGAAAGAAAGAAAGAAAGAAAGAAAGAAAGAAAGAAAGAAAGAAAGAAAGAAAGAAAGAAAGAAAGAAAGAAAGAAAGAAAGAAAGAAGAAAGAAAGAAGAAAGGAAAGAAAGAAAGAAAGGAGGAAGGAAGGAAGGAGGAAGGAAAGAGAGGGGGAGAGAAGGAGGGAGAGAGGGAAAGAAAAAAAGACAAATCGCTTCACTAAAGCAATCATGGATTATATCAAGCAAAAGTAGCCCCTGCAAGTAGACAGACTTTAATAATGCTGGCTCACTTAATTAAATTGTGCTTGTATACACAGTCTTTTCCCATCAAGATAAGGAATAATGCTACATGCCATTTTTCAATCCCTGGGGCAATCGTCTTCTTCCTAGGGAGACACTCAGTGTTGGTAATATGAATGACTCAGTCATGCATCCTCAGTGATGTGGGTTTTTAATGTCCATGTAGTTGTTTGGAGTTCTTGACACAGCTGCTTGGGCGGTATATCTTCTCTCTCCCTGTGGTTTGGCTGTTGTGCGCATGTAAAACCCTGACTGACTTTTCAGCTGAGAAAGGGCCTCCCCTGCAGGCCCAGAACTCACCCAGCTGCTCTGACAGTCACACACACAAACGTGTCTTCATCCCAGGATGGCATTTGGTAAGATGGTGACCAGGTTTTGCCTGGGAACGGCTAGTGTAAGTCCTAAAACCCTCATGCTGCCTTGATTTTCTTTTCTCTTCTTCCAGAAAATAATTTCATGAACATCACCATCATTTTGTCCAGAGACAATATGAGCAAGTCTAACAGTGAATGGTGGGTTCTCAACCTGACAGGAAATAGGATATATGAACAGAATTCACAGGCCTTGGAGCTGGTAGTCTTCAATGACAAGGTCAGCCCTCCCAGCCTTGGCTTCCTGGCTGGCTATGGGTAAGGACCCATTGCTATCATTAATAGTTATAAGAACTCACGTATGGGAGTTAGGAAGGTGGCTCAGTGGTAGAGTACTTGCCTAGCATGCCTGAAGCCCTGGGTTCAATTCCTCTGTACCACATAAACCGAAAAAGCCAGAAAAAGCCAGAAGTGGCACTGTGGCTCAAGTAGTAGAGCGCTAGCTTTGAGCAAAACAAGCTCAAGGACAGTGCTCAGGCCCCGAGTTCAAACCCACAGGACTGGACAAAATAATAATGATAATAATAATAATAACTCATATATGCATATAAAGTTGAGAATAAAAAGCTTCTTTTCAGGGCTTGGAAGGTGGCTCAGTGGTAGAGTGCTTGCCTTGCATACATGAGGCCCTGGGTTTGATTCCTTAGCACCACATAAGCAGAAAAAGCTGGAAGTGGAGCTGTGACTCAAGTAGTAGAGTGCTAGCCTTGAGCTGAAGAGCTGAGGATCAGCGTCCAGGCCTGGAGTTCAGGCCTGGAAACCGAGAAAAAAAAAAAAGCTTCTTTTCTTTTTAGAATTCTCAAATTACATAGATACAATCTTGTGGCCAGGACCAGCCTCGGACTGCATTCCTCCAGTTAATGCATCCCTTATATCTGGAATTACACATATAAGCCACCAGACTAGTATATTTATCATGATGAGGTCTCACTAACATTTTGCCCTGGCTGGCCTGGACCTGTGATCTTCCTGATCTCCAGACTAGCTTAAGATCTCCTAGCTACAGAGTAGCTTGTATAACAGGCATGAAGCATCATAGCTGATCTGATGCTTAAATTTCTAAGACATAATGCAAAATAAAAGTTTGTAAAAATGTTACACAGTCTCATAATTTTCCACCTAGTAGTTATTATAAAAATGTCTGAAGAAGCCAGGCTCCTGTGGCTCACATTTGTCATCCTAGCTACTCAGAAGGCTAACATCTGAGAATCACAGTTCAAAGTCAGCCCAGGCAGGAAAGTCTATGACACTCTTATCTCCAATGAACCACTAGAAAACCGGAAGTGGTGCTGTGGCTCAAGTGGTAGAGCACTAGCCTTCAGATGAAGAACTGAGGACAGCGCCCATGCCCCAAGTTCAAGCCCCATGACTGACAAATAAATAAAAATAAAACTCTGAAGAGCCAGATACCAGTGGCTCATGTCTACTATAATCCTGTCTACTGAGATCCAGAGGGTCATGGTTTGATGCCAGGCTAGACAGAAAAGTCCATGAGATTCTATCCAAAATAACCAGCAATTGGGGCTGGGAAGGTGGCTCAGTGGTAGAGCGCTTGCCTTGCAAGCCTGAGGCCCTGGGTTCAATTCCTCAGCACCATATAAGCAAAAAGAGAAAAGCCGGAAGTGGCGCTGTGGCTCAAGTGGTAGAGCGCTAGCCTTGAGCTGAAGAGCTGAGGGACAGTGCCCAGGCCCAGAGTTCCGGCCCCACGACCAGACCCAAATAAAATAAAATAAAATAAAATAACCAGCAAAAAGTTGGGTTAAAGGATTAGTAGAGTGTCATCCCAGCAAGCAAGCCAACCAAGCATAAGGCACTGAGTTCAAATTCCCCAGTACTGCTAAAATAAAAATCCCTGAGGAAGACAGATTGCTCAGGAGAGACAAGCAACTTTCAGAAAAACAAAGTTGTAAGCACCTGTGGCTCATTCCTGTAATTCTAGCTACTCAGGACTAAGATTTAAGGACTGAGGTTTAAAGCCAGCTGGAATGGGAAAGCTGATGAAACTCATATCTCTAATTAACCACCAAAAACATAGAAGTGGAGCTGTGGCTCAAGCGATAAAGTGCCAGCCTTGGCATGAAACAGCTAAGGGACATGAGCAGGCCCTGAGTTCAAGCCTCAGTACCAGCACAAAAAAGAAAAGAAAGAAAGAAGGGAGTCCAATTGTCTTTCCACCCCATGTATTATATTTCACCAAAAAATATGGCTAACATAGTTAACTGCTAGATACGGTTTCTACTTCCTGTCTCTTTCAGGATTATGGGATTGTACGCTTCAGTTGTGCTCGTGATCGGGAAATTTGTCCGTGAATTCTTCAGTGGCATTTCCCACTCCATCATGTTTGAAGAGCTTCCAAATGTAGACAGAATTTTAAAGTTGTGCACAGATATTTTTTTAGTCCGGGAGACAGGAGAACTGGAACTGGAAGAAGATCTCTATGCCAAATTAATATTCCTGTACCGCTCACCAGAAACAATGATCAAGTGGACTAGAGAAAAAACAAACTGATCTCTTAGGACCCAGACTGCAAAATCAAGTTAAAATCTGGATTTTTTCTTTTTCTTTTTTCTTTTTTTTTTTTTTACAAAAGCACAATATTCTCCTAAGAGCTAAAGTATTTCTAGTTCAATGGGAATGGTTTTCTCTTCTGACAGGTAGCCAAAAGGAGCTGGGTTCCTTTTATAGCAAAAGCTACCTTGGCACATGAAGACACTGTTGAAGTTACATGTACTTCCATATCTCTGAAATCAGGGCTACTTGCTTAAGTTTTTGAATTCAGTGTCTTGCATTCTCATTGACTATGTGCCAGATTGACGCAGGGTTTTATTTTCCCTCAGAGAAGCCAAAGAGAAGAAAGAAGGAAGAAGGGACCCTCTGGGGTCTGCACCTCTTCTGGAGTATGCAGCAGACAGTACTTAGCAGCACTGGAATGGTATTGCAACAGCTCTTAGCAGCACTGGAGAAGCTGCTGGACAGAGGCCCAGTGGGCCCTCAACACACTCCACTCATGCCACAGCAATAGATGGCAGGGAGCACTCCCCACGTCTCAAGAGAAAAGAGCAGAGGGAACCAGTGGTCCAGGAAGATGCCTATGGAAAGACAAGCCTCACTCTAAGCAAAAAGATAACATTAGTGATACTCTTACTGCCTTATCTCAATTGAAGACTGATACAAAAATCTTTCCATGAAACACCAGTGACTTCTCAGGAAAACAACAACAAACAAATCAGCGAAGCAAATAAATGGACGCCTCCTCTGTGGAGATCTGGGTGTGACCTCTGCGAAGATGGTGACTGTTCTACTCAGATGGTCTCCTGCCTGGAAAAGAAGAGCTGGAAGGGCCAGCCCCACATTCTGGGAGCACCTCTCCATGGGAGCACCCCTAGATGGGTGCCTCCAGCTTTGTAACAGTGACTCAAGTCACCACGCTCTCCCACCCTGCTCTACCCAATGCGCTTTTTCCCCATTTCCATGGTCTAAGGCAATGGTTTTTTCCAATAGGTGACATTTTCCTCCCTGTTTTTCAGGTATATCAGAGTTTACATATTCCAATTCACATTTTTACATCTGAGACGGGTTTTTTAAGTTCATAATTATGAAAGAAATATGTATATTGAGCTTGGGGAATAAAAACTGGCTTTTCTTAAATTATTACCATTGGTAATACAACCTCTTCATGAAATAACAATGTAGCATGAGAAATTGATGATTGAAATGTAGTTTTCATTCCATATTAAAAATACAGTTTCTGGGAGTCATTGAGTGGGCTAGAATAAGTTTTAAAAAAATCAATCCTGTGTACTTCCTGTTCAGGGCTGACCTAAAATAAAGCACATCTTGCAGTCATACACAGAGTACTCTTTTTTTTTTTTTTTTGTCATTCATGGGGCTTGAACTCTGGGCCCGGGTCCTGTCCCTTAGCTCTTCAGCTCAAGGCTAGCACTGTACCACTTTAGCCACAGTGCCACTTATGGTTTTCTGGTGGTTAATTGGAGATAAGAGTGTCACAGACTTTCCTGCCTGGGCTGGCTTTGAACTGTGATCCTCAGATCTCAGCCTCCTGAGTAGCTAGGATTACAGGGGTGAGCTACCAGCACCCGGCCAGAGTAGTCTTTATTCTATTTGTACAAAATACGAAAAGTATTTTCAATACAGTGAATAGACTAAAAAATAAAAATTAAGGGAAAATTAAAAAAAAAAAAAACACTTGCCAGGCACGGATGGTTCATGTTTGTAATCCTAGCTACTTAGGAAGCTGGCATCTGGAGATCACAGTTCAAAGCCAGCCTGGGCAGAAAAGTCCATGAGATTCTTCTCTCCAATTAACCACCAAGAAGCCAGAAGTGTAGATATAGCTCAAGTGGTAGAAACTTGAGCAGAAAAGGTAAGTCACAGTGCCCAGGCCCCTAGTTCAAGCCCTAGTAACACACACACACACACACACACACGCACACGCACACACGCGCGCACACACACATACACACACACACACATACTCACACACCACTTCTTGTTGGCTTATTTTAGTTTTGTAATGTAGATACTCTATAAATCACAAGAACAAGGATTAGCTGCTAACAAAGGAGTTTCCAAAGAAGAAACTATAGTATTGGTTTGAAACTTTAATAGCAGAACTCAAATGATGTTCAGTGTCTTCTATGGAATTAATTACCAAATTACCAAATATGGGTTCCCATGCTTTGAAAATCAGCATGCCTCCGCCCTGCTAGGATCATATTTCAATCACAGCAACAATAGAACCAAATCACTTAGCAGAACTCTTGGATGATGCTCTGATTTCCTGACAATAATCATGGTGTGTATATGTGCTTGTGTGTTCTTTTATATTTTTTTAAACAAAAGTACATAAGGAACTTCCAGGAAGCAAACTGTAAGACATTTAACAACAAACTGACACAGGAAAAGAAAAGGTCAAAGGATATTAAAATTAAAATATTTCACCAAAAAATTGTTACTAGGGTTCAAGAACGAAGGCTCCAGCCATATAGAAGGAAAATCATTTGTTTCAGTGATGGTGATAGACCACAGGTCTTTTACCAGCTCCAGGACTTGACACACTCTATCTCTGAACTCCACCTCACTGTCAGAGGGGAAAACATCCAAAAAAAAGCTTGCTGACTACAGAAGGCAGGCAGTCCTTCAAGGCAGGTCTAAGCTAGGGTAGAAATCACATAGAGATTGAGGAAGCCTGCCTCCAAGCCATATGGCTGGGAAATTCAGCCATGGGCCCCTTAATTTCTCTTAGCCTCATTTACCTGACAGTATATATCCCCAAGCTTTACTCAACCTCCCAGGAATTAAGGGCCTCTCTTAGGCTATATCCCCTCTTCCTATAGCAGCCACGGCCTGCGTTTGGGCTTCTGAGCACAGTTTGGAAATGGAGAAGTGCTGGAGAGGATGTTAGGGAATAACCTTGTGCAGAACCCAAGCCAGTGAGTTCTGCAGGGCTAAGGAGAAGGAGAAGCAGTTGCAGTTGACCTTAGGCTAGTGGTAGGAACTTGAGATCTAGGGTACATCTTCTGCTGTCCTGAAGAAAGCTGGCAGTGTTCGGGTCAAGCCACACAGACTCCTTGTCACAGTCACCATCCACAGGAATGATGAGCACGTCCCTGTGGATGTTAGTTAATGCCTCTGAGGGTCACAGCAGAGATCCGTCCATGAGCATGCACACGGGCCAGCAGAACAGGTCCCGGGAGATGGCACCATTCTGCCAGCTTCTCACACTAAGCTTGTGAGGGCTGACTTAGAAAAGAAGAGCAGAATCAAACCTGTAGTCACTGCTGTGGTAGCAGAAAAGTGAAGGGGTCTAGAATAGAGGTGAGGAGATTTAGACCAAGGGTGAGGGGGTCATGGCCAGGAATAAAGGGGTCCAGATCCTGTGGAAGGGGCTTCAGAAGGGGGTGCAGGGATGACTATTATCTGGCCTTGATTGTCGCTGCCAGAGCAGCAACTCAGTAACTACAGGTTTGATTCTGCTCTTTCTTCCACCTTACCACAGACTTCCTCTCCCCCTAATTCTGTTTATAAGAGCCTGAGAGATTTCTGAAGATAGGCTTGAGAGATTCTAAAGAAATGTAACCGGTGTAGCATCCATTACCTAGCATGCTAGGGATTGAAGGGTTTTGAATATGAGATCTTTTATATTGTGGAATATTCACACATAACATACCTAATGATCCACATAAATGAGGTGATCTATGAAACCTCATTTGTTTCATATGTACTGTATGATCAGTCTGGTGGCAATTTTATACAAAATTTTCAATAATTTTGTGCATAAAACAACTGGAAGGGCAGAAAGGACCTTTTTTTTGTAGTGGGGACACTGAGTAAACTGTATTAGGTGCCTGCATTTTGTCTTGTCAGAAGGTCAGGTGTGGAATTTTCCTCACCAGTGTGATGCTCAGGGAATGTCACCGGACAGATTTAGTGAAGCTCTCCTTTAAATATAGGAACTCTTCATGATTGCAGAATAAGTATTTCTGGATAATAACAATGGTAAGAAAACTTGGCAGAGCTTGGGGCTGGGAAGGTGGCTCAGTGGTAGAATGCTTGCCTTGCATGCCTGAGGCCCTGGATTCGATTCCTCAGTACCACATAAGCAAAAAGAAAAAAGCCGGAAGTGGTGCTGTGGCTCAAGTGGTAGAGCGCTAGCCTTGAGCTGAAGAGCTGAGGGACAGCACCCAGGCCCAGAGTTCAGGCCCCACGACCGGACCCAAAAAAAAAACAAAACTTGGCAGAGCTTTATTAAATAAACAAGCAAGGAAACACAAAAAAAGCAGACAAGGGCTGGGAAGGTGGCTCAGTGGTAGAGCGCTTGCCTTGCATGCATGAGGCCCTGGGTTCAATTCCTCAGCACCACATAAGCAAAAAGAAAAAAGCCGGAAGTGGCACTGTGGCTCAAGTGGTAGAGCGCTAGCCTTGAGCTGAAGAGCTGAGGGACAGCGTCCTGGCTCAGAGTTCAGGCCCATGACCGGACCCCCCTCAAAAAAAAAACAAAAAACAAACAAACAAAAAAAAAAAGCAGACAAACAGAAGGGCAAGGACACACTCTAGCAGAGTGTGGGTGCTCTCATAGGGACACAAAGACACAGACACAGAAACAGACAAGGAAACATCCAGAGAGAAATACAGCTGCTTGGACTGCTGGGTATTTATAGGGTAAAGGCAGGGTTCTGGCTTTAAGTTATGCAAAGCTAGGTGCTTTGTCTTTGTTTTAACTACACCTGGTGTTATTCTCTGAGTTTCCAGGTAAGACTGCATCCTGTTATAGAACAGATCCTTATCCTTGAAACAAGGAGACACCCTGCTATCTGCATTTTGGGGCATTCTGTCAGGCAGTTGTGAATTCTTGGGTGAGAAATACATCCCTTCGGAAAGAATGCATTCAGTTGCCTTTGTTTGAAACAAAGATAGCATTTCTGAGTTTTTAGATAACATATTTCGGAGTTGCCTGCACCAGGCTTGTTTCCATAGGTTATCCTGTTTCATTTCCCCCCAAAAGACTTGTGTTCCCTTAATCTTAAGGGAAGTATGTACATAAAGGAGTGTCTCCTGTATTTGCTATTAGCTGGCCATACCTCATTTTTTCTAGTCTATCCAGCTTCAGGAACATTTGGAGCATTTTAGATTTTAGATTTTCTGATTAGAGATACCCAACCTAGAAGGAAGAAGAGGTAAAGGGATTGCATAATACAAAGATTACTCAATAGTATTAGCTCTTACCACTATATTCAAATGAAGATAAGAGTCACATGGACTTTCCTTCTCAGGCTGGCATTGAACTGTGATCCTCAGATCTCAGCCTCCTGAGTACTGAGGATTACAGGTGTGAGCTACTGGCCTGGGTTTACTGATCTTAAAAAAGAATCTGATTTCATGGGCTGGGAAGGTGGCTCAGTGGTAGAGTGCTTGCCTTGCATGCCTGAGGCCCTGGGTTCGATTCCTCAGCACCACATAAGCAAAAAGAAAAAAAAAAGCCGGAAGTGGCACTGTGGCTCAAGTGGTAGAGCACTAGCCTTGAGCTGAAGAGCTGAGGGACAATGCCCAGGCCCAGAGTTCAAGCCCCGAGACCGGACCCAAAAAAAACAAACAAAAAAGAATCTGATTTCAGATTTCACTGTTTAGTAGTTGTTGTTATTTTTCTATCTTATTACTTCCTGAACTTATTATTTGTGTTTTAATTTTTGTTAGTAGACCTTAGGGCCTTTACTTGCTAGTCATAGGCTAGGGTGACACTCATGTGCCACTCTACACAGTTCAATGCCAGCCTGAGAAGGAAAGTCCATGAGACTCTTATCTCCAATTAACCAGCAGAAAGCTGGAAATGGCACTGTGGCTCAAAATGATAGACTGTTAGTCTTGAATGTAAAAGCTCAGGGACAGTGCCCAGGCCCCAAGTTCAAGCCCCATCAATGAAAAAAAAAAAAGTCAGTTAAATGGACAATGGAATGAGATAAAAATAGACAAGCTAATGATACTAGGAAGCAGAGAGGAGATATCATCCAGGAAAATTTCATTAAATGAATAAAAAGTTATAAAGATTAAACAAATTTAAATAAATGCATTTTAAAACATACAAAGGTATAAACATTTCATGAAATACATATCCTCCCAAAATGTGAGTAGCCCTCTACCAATTAATGAAACTTCATAACTGAAAACCTTCCCACAAAAATATTCTGGGGTCAGCTAACTTCACTAATGAATTATGGCAAACATTTAAAGGATAAACAATGCTAATTAATTGCTACACTGGTAAATTCTAGCAAGCATTTAAGGAAGAAATTATGTTAATTGTCTATAATCTCCTTCAAAAGATTGGA